GTAGCAGTGACAAAGAACAAAAGCGAGATTCAATGCGACGGAGTGAGATGTAAAGATAGAGAATGAAGTTCGTGCCACTATGAACTTTGATCTCTATCGTTTCGTCTCACTCCTTCGCACTGAATCTCGCTTGAATTCTTTGTTACTGTTGCGCGGCCAATAACGAGCATCTGTCGAAGACAGGCGGCCCAAACGTTGTGAAGAGCCTCAGCCCTTCTTACTTTTCAGCTTGTGGGTCGTCGGCCAACTCGTCGGATCTGCACTGTACCGTCGTAGTTAACACGTTGAATGCCGAACGATTATACGGAGCAAACTACAGGAAGTAAGAAAAGAATATAATATCAAAGTATTTGATTGAATTGCGTTATCATTGTTGCACAATTATTTTGCTAAACGTCATCGCCTTAGGTTGCATTATTTCTAATATGGAACAGTTTTTAAATAGTCATCATTTAATTGAATGATTTATAGTAATTCGATTTGATTGGGGGTCACCGGTGACCCCCACGGCATTCAACGTATTGAAAGGTTAAAACCAGCATGATTTTGATGTCAGTGTTAGGCCTGGAAGTTCAAACTGAAACGACTAGCGACTTCGAGCTTTCATACTTGAAACCGATAGTTATAAATAAATAATAATATTATTCAAATAACGAGGAATTAGATTTGGCATTAGGATTAGGATATCGTATAGACTGATACGCGATTTTCTTCTTTTTTAGTACTTAAGAGCTCGATGGATTTTCAATTTTTTTCTATAGAAAGAGTTTCTAGATGTTCAAAAAATGCTCGTTCGCAGAGAGTTAGTACCAGTGTAAAGCCCAAAAGGCTATACCAAAACCGATATACAGTAGAATCCCCTGTAACACGATTAAAATATTCCTTGTTAGAAGGTTTCACGTTTACGAATTTCACGTGAAATTCCCCTTTCGGATACTGGTTCAACTTGTATCAACAGATCGCTGACTGATCACGAGTTAACTCGTGTTTGCATTTACATTAGCCATTTCAATTTTTGAAATGCAGGGCAATATAGAATATTGCAGAAGCAGAATATTGTGTATAAATAACTTTCAATTCATTATGTATAAATAAAGTATATTGAAGCTTATTTAGATTGTCTCTTTTTCATGTTTAATTAGGGAATAATAACCGGTGTTTTTCAGGTTCTTCTGGAACATGCATTGCGATGATAATGAAACGTATAATGAGAAATTGGTCGCTACATTTATAAAATAATTGAGCAACAAAACAAACGCCGAGAAGCAAATATATTCTGCCATTTATTTGATATCATTGCCACTTTTATTCGCGATTGCCTGCGAGACCGTTTTCGGCGGGAACACGGTAACTCACGAACATATTTGTCACTAATAAAAAAATTCCCTTTAAAAACAATTATCATTATTTCTACCGAAGGTGTCAGAAGACACTTTTGAAATTTTCACTTAAAATTATTTTCTCAGTTTAATCATTTTTCCTTGATTGAATTTTGGACATTTTCTATAGTTCATTTTATAATCGTTATTGGAAAAGTCGAGAAGTCAATAAAGAACATAAACTTTGAAAATAATTTTGAGTGAAAATTTCAGAATATTCGATAGAAATAGCGTTATTACAGCAATTGTCGCCACAGATAAAATACGAAAATAATACCGATGTTTGGGTTTCTATATAAGGGTTACGAAGGTATAACCGAAAGATACCGATGTAATACCGGTATTTAATATTTAGGCTTAAGTCCCTGCTTGGCCTTCCCTCGTACGCATCCTCGTGAAAGTTAAACGCGAGACGTATTTAACAGTATTAACCTTTTGCATTCCAGTTGCCACTCTCAGTGGTCATTTGATTTAATACATGCAAAATCATAAAATTTCATATTTAATGTGAAGCTTTGCATAATGCGTATGTAAAATATTGAAACAAAAAGAACTTTGCTCTTTAATCTATGTATGATTTCTCGTTAAGTTGCTTTAAACAGCCATCGTTTCTACCTCAGGCGAAAATATTGCATATTTCTGATGAGATAAAGACGATATTTTGTAAAACTAACTTGAAGAGAAATTACACGTACATTGAGGAACGAAACTATTTTATTTCAATACTTCTCAAATTGATGCGTTATACGGAACATAATATTAAATATCAAGTTTTACGGTTGTACTGTACGAAATCAAGTGGCGAGTGAGAGTCATCTCTCGAGTGCAAAGGGTTAATATTTTTTAGATAAATTTCAGAACTTTCTACACTGCAGACTAGTGTGACATATTCTGGAAGTCTAAAACATATTTTATATACTATCAGTATGAACTCAGCCCGACAAATAATTTTCGATATGAAAATTCATAACTACAGTGTATTTTTCACGGAAACAAGTGAAAGTTGTAAAATTCAAAGGTCCCCATGTTACAAACCAATATGAAACAAATAAAATGATGACTCAAATCTTCTCTCGAATTTCAGTTGTACTACATTATATTTCGTTGCGAACAAAATCCCTTACACTGACGTTCGGAAAGCGTTCTATTTAGCGTGAAATGAACCCATTATAAAGGAAGGATCTTTCTAACGTATTAATAAAGGATTATTTGTTTAATTGAAGGTGTGAATATTGTAAAACATTTGAACGATATGCGAGCGTATAATTCGTAGATAATAATTGTAAAAGTTTAAGTTACAGTATGGCATGAATGTTTATCCATATTATAAAGTTTGATTTTTTTGTAATCTGGCGGAAGTGAAACAGATAGAAGAGCGGATGTCGCTATTATCGGTATCTCACGCGCGATACTAAGAGAGTTCAACCGAACTCATCTTTTCATCTAACCAATAACTTTTTTGGAGAAAATGAAAAATTTCTTTCTCCTTAGTATAATAATTTCTGTTACATAATAGAGTAACGTGTATCTAATATGGAATATCTGACTTGGAGAGTTTACCAAAACAAAACGTATGCATTTCTTCAATGACACTTAAAACACGACGGGAGACATTCGTATGCTAATAGATAACAATGCAAACATTGAAATCTCTTGGAATCATGGTAAAATGTGTGAATAAAGTCAAAAACAGCGGATTCGGAAAATGATTCCTAATATGGAACACCCAGATTTGCTAAGAAAACACATTTCTACCTTGGGAAATGAATATTTACCGAATTAAACAGAGTAAATGCATTATGAAATCTGTCGCTCTTTCGAATATTATATTATGTTAATTTGTTTCTTTTTCTTTATGTGTTCGATACGCGAAGGACATGTCGAAGCTGAACACATTCTTCGCGAATACAATGCGTTGGATACATTTTTATCCATTATTACCATTTCTATAATTGTCAGCGCAAAATGAGATGTACTGTAATATTATTTAACGTGACCGAAGAATGTGCACTCAATGTGGAATGTGTTTCATATTAGGTACACACATACACTGCCGCTCAAAAGTATCCGGACGCTTGCGAAATATGTATTAACGTTGCATAAATTTTATGTAAGTGCCTAAAATAGTGACTAAAACCGATTTTTTATAAAATTTCTAATTTCTTATTAAATATCTAACGTTTTAAATTAAAAATTACGTCTGTGGAACTTACCAATACTACACTAAAATTAAATACGAGATTCATCGACGTAACCACCGCGGTTAGATATTACCGCTTGCACTAATCTTGGCAATCTTTCTACCAGTTTCTTCATTGTTTCTGTGGAAATCTCTTTCCACGTTTCTTGCAAACACTTCCATATGTCCTTTTGCGATGTTGGGCACTTTTCACGCACTTTTCTGTCCAATTCATCCCATAATTTTTCAATGGGGTTGAGGTCCGGGGATTGTGGTGGCCATTGCATAATTTTTAGTAGTTTTTCTTTCTCTAATGTCTCTAAATAGTTTTTACACAATTTAGCTGTGTGTTTAATAAAATAGATCCTAAAGAAGCTACAGACGAACTAAAGCGAAGCTGGCGAGTGCATAGCGTTACCTCCATTCTTATCTCTATCGAGAGAACATAAACATATCATCAACAGTTTACAGACACTTAATACGTATTGAAGAACTCTATGAACTCGTTCTGCGCCATAGAGATGAAACAAAGTGGAACTTGAGATTCTTTTAAGCGTCGAGATCGTTCCATTAGATTTTGTATTTCTGTGCAGGAATTTTATTTCTGCATACTCATTATATAATTTGTACATAAAAATTAATTCTACTATGCTATGATACCTCAAAAAGGTTACAATAATAATTACAATTGATATAACCATTCTAAATACCTTTCGTACAAAGTTAAACTATGTTTTATAGAACAAAACCAAGTGTCCGGATACTTTTGAGCGGTAGTGTATATTTCTGGTAGAAAAATAATAACTATTCTCAGAAAAAAATACGTTTACAGCATCTTGCTCCATCTATATTAAGAAACTTAACTATTTAACTCGTCTCTCAGAATATTTTACATATTACCAAACACGATAATACTTCATATTCAGTAACAAAGTTGTTGATAATAAAGTATTTCTTATATTCACTGACACGTTAAGCTACCTATCTTCCGAAATATTGCGTTGCTCTATATTGGATGCCGTTGCCTTGTTGATTTTTGTCCGATGTATTGGATTTTCAATTGATATACGATTAATTGAAGAAATAATTTTAATGAACACACTTCGTTGCGTAGTCCTCGATTATTAAATTATTACATTTATACTATTAAACTATTATCCCTTTGCACTCGAAAGGCGACTTTCATTTGCCATTTGATTCGATACACTGAAATTCAATATTCAATTTTGTATTAGGTATCGACATATGAAATTTAGTTATAAATTAATTAATTTATGTATGATTTTCCTTTATGTTATTTGCTAACAGTATTATCAATATTTCAACAGAAAATAATAAATATTTATATAATTATAAATAATAGTTTAATAATATAAATTTAACAGTTTTATATTCACATATTATGGTTATTATTTATCTATACGTGTAAAATTTTGTTCTAGGGATGGAGTGTTCGTTCGGAGAGAAGAACATCCTACAGAAAATAATTGACTCGTGTCCAGGAATTATTGATTCTGCAGACAAATCGTACTGTTGTTACAACATCGAAACTAACAAGGCCTATTGTTGCAATGCCTACGAGTTCGCAATGTTATCTTCGTGGTAATAAAAGACAGTAATATTAATTTTCGATGAAATACATGTAATACCAATGAGTTATTGTTGTACTTATAGGACAGTCATGACGGTGATAGTGGTGGTCGTAATAGTGATATCAGTAGTGATCTTCTGCGTATCGTGCCTGTGCTGCATTTGCTGCCGGCCGTATCGCAGACTTCGTAATCAGGGAATAGTATACGAACGTGAGTACACCCTTACATGAAAAATCTAGCCTGACGTCGTCATTCCATCATATTCCACGAATCGCTTTCATTGTTATCCGACTTCTAACGTGGTGTAAAAATTAGATTTAGTACCTGGTACACTGCACATTTCACTACAACTACAAATATTATAAAGAATGTTTTTTAACGGTACATGATAATGCAATTGTTTTGTAGGACCATCCACGGCCTGATTCCATATCATCGCCTCTTCCACTCTTCCGACACTGTTTTATACATGATACTTCCCGTGATTATACCTTAAGATACAATAATTTTTTAAAAAACTGTTAGTTGATATTCTGCTCTCTATGTGCGTATTTGCATGAATGTTTAATGCCTCCAGTAATATTATTATATAATACTATTATCATTACTACCATTATTATCATTACTATCATTATTATCATTATTATATACGAATGTATACATATGTAAGTAGTATACACAGGAACACAACATTTATTGTGATGACGAATGTTACTCCAATGTTACTATTTTATGTTATATTATCTAAGAATGATTATGTTCCTACAATTTTTAACTCTAAATCGATGACAGAGCAATATTGAAACTGATGATGTTCAGTAAAGTGAACTTATATATTGATAAGGGACGATAAACATTCCATAAGAAAAGTTTTATACAGACGAGAGTTATTTATATAAAAGCAAATGATCATTTTTTTTAAGATGTTGCAAACACATAATGTTGTGTAAGTATAAATATAAGATTTATATTAAAAAATTGAGTTTAGGATACACATAAGCGCTTCACTGTACCGTTTACGTAATAAATAAATTTTTGGTGTTTCAATATGAACGAATATTTTCCTTCCCATTAGTGTGTTAAAAATAGTATCGTGTCTTACAGTTACGTTATTATTAGTAGATCAGTGTGTGCCGGTTATTTAAAAATAAAACGGTACATTGACCTATAATAAAAAGTATCGACCTACTTCCTTAAGCAGCGTCCCTTGTAAAGAACGTGCTTCTGTTAATGGTACAAGTAAAACCAATTTTAAACAATCTCGTTCTTTTCAAGTTGTAACGCTTCGAATCCGCCCCAATAAAGTTCATTACAGTAGTCGATAATTTTCTCATGTTTTTTCATAACAAAGTTGTTTATTCTGTATTATTAAAAAGATTCACGTTGAAATCTGTTGATTCAGTGAAATGAAGTGATGCGTTATGAATTTTGAGCAACGAATTCTAAATGATTTAAATTCGATTTTTGGAAATATTTGTTTCAGACGCACAAGTACCTAGCGTGATACATATAATTCAAACTCCCGCGAATATTCCACAGCCTGTTAAATCAACCGTACCACCAGGAGATTATTAATAAAATTCGAAGTTATAATATGATACAGTATAAAGAAAATAATAAATGTATTATGTTATTAATAAAAGATTCTATTATTTTCCATGTTATATTTTATATAATTATAAAATTACTTGAATTCTCTTTAAGTACTACAGTATGATAATTTTAGTTTTTGTGAACATCGGAAAGATATATATAATTATATTATTTTACAATTTAATTAATTAAAAGAAAACGCTGCATGACTTATAGGAAAATATATATTTTCTGAATATCTATGTTACAATATGTATATATGTATAAACAGTATATTAGTGTTACACAGTTTTTTCTATGAATAAGTAATATTGTTATACAAGACCACATTGAGTATCCATTGTTATGGTTTTTACATTAAATTTAGCAACTGATACATGTGACTTATTCAAGGAATCCATTTCCTTCATTTAATTAAACAATCCAACATATGAAGGGGGATGTATTAGACAATTTCTCTGCAGTACAGAAATTGTATAATGGTATAATTATAATTATTAGTAATTAGGCTTAAGTGTTTTGATCCATGAATTATTTCTCTATAGCTATTAAGTTTATATTAATTTAATATAAATACTTATAAATAATTTTGATTATTATTTGTCAATATTTATGACAAGCAAGCTTTCTTTCAATATTTGTATTTCAAAATTATAATACGCGAAATCGGTAATTTAACAGAAAGTGCAATCATTTTATTACCACATGATTGAAAAATATAAATCTGCACGTATACTTAAATATGTTCTATATAAAATATATTAAATAAATACTATTTGTAGCTCGCCAGAATTAGAGCATTCAATAATACCTCACCCTATCAATCTACTTCCATTATATTGCAGAATTTATTTTTACTAAAAAAAAATTAACGACATATTTTTATTCATAATTGTATGTAAGGTTTTAGTTATACATATCGATGCCAAACAGTGCTCCGATTAAGAATAAATTATACACAGTGTTACTGATATATCAGAAAATAAATAGTTCAAGTATTATCAAATTACTGTTTCTAATATTTCACCTGTAGGAGCATGTAATTCAAATTTTGCTATAAAAAGTTACTGTGTAAATTTAATATTAAAACTATTGTTTTAAAAATTTGTTATACGGTACAAATGCTTTACTTTTCTTATTACAGAATTTATTTAATGAGTATTCATGTTTCTTTTAAATATAATATTCTTGCACAATATGGGCAACCATTAAAATATGTACATCATTTTCAATTCTCTTTGGATGAACGTAACCAGTTGCGGATTCGCATTCGTTTACAAATTTATATTGTACAAACTACTATTTATCAATCATCTAATTCTTTTCTTCTACATATCTATAATAATATCAGTTACAAAATTATTGACATTGGTTTACACAGTGATTTGCTTCCAATTTGATTTCGTAACACTCGCTTTTACTTGTGTTAGAAACAAATCTAAAGGACGGTCATTTTTAACGAATAACCGTTGCTTAAACACAATGTGTTCCTGATAAGTTTTACAATGCAAATTTCTTAAAATCATTAATTTATACTGAAATAGATAACAATCACTGCATACTATTTGTTTGTAATTCAGTCAATATAATATTACAATGTACAAAATATTAAAAGTCAATATTATTATTTCAATTTCCGTTAACTCTATAGCCTACTAATACCAATTGCACTCAATATCGATACTCGTTATATGGTATATTGTCTACAAATCAAGGAAGAAATAGTATCAGTCATGTTTTAGTTTTTTTTTAATCGCTACTATTTGTTAAGTTTTTTAAGAATGAATCTAAAAATATGTCAACAGTAACCTTTCTACGAATTCAAGAACATATTTACACATATAGAAATGCTTAAAAAATTGAGAAACAGTACAATTTTTAGGAGACTGTGTATACAATTATTATCCACTTTTTAACTATTACACTCGATGTTGCAATTAAAAGTTATTATAACTTTCTTTATCATTACATGTACAATTCATTTTTTAAACTTAGACTTTGATGGCGTTTACATTTATTCCAATATTGCTTTAAGTAAAATTGCAGTAACAAATGAATACTTAAGTGAATTTAAACGAATGTTCATACCTACCTGTCTATACTATACTAAACGCTGCAATATGGTGTTTGTGATTTATGAAGACGGTATTGCTTTACGAGATTACACACGTAGACTGTGTAGAAGTATTTTCAGCGTTATTGAGATTACTGTAGTTATTTCGGAAGGACACCTCGTCGACTGTCAGTGATAATTCGTGGGATCTCTCTTCTTCTAACGGGGCAGTTGTCGAAGCATGACTAATTGATGAATGCCGGGATCGAGATAAGTTTCCTCGTTGATTACTACCAGCAGAAGGTGCAGGGCTAGGAGATGGACTTTCTGGAATTTGCTCTTGTTCTTGTTGTTGTTTAATTACAACTAGTCTGTTCAACAAGGAAATCTGAACCTGGATGGCTGACATGAACGGTCTATAACCCAAACTGTAATGCACGTATACATCAGCTTTTTTATATTCCGTTGAAACACATTTTTATTTATACATATAAGATAAACCTAACACCTTGTGTATTTTATTTAAACAATTTAATAATATTAATTTGATCAAAATCAATAAAAACAACAGAATATAGTATATAGTATATTCATCTATTTCTTCAAAGCAGAATATTTCATTTTAATCTTTTTAGGCAAATATCTTGAAGAAAATGGAAAAAGTGGGAAAACATTTTTTCTTGAAAAAATACTTCGGAATGTTCAATGGAATCTCTTATAAGAAGTTAGATTTATCCTATACCTTTTTTACAATCGCATAATACGCACCATTCCGTGTGTGACCATCTGGTTAAAGTAAGAAGACCATCTCTTAGATTAATTACGGAATCAAATGTTTGCATAGGAGCATGAGCTGCCCTAATAGTTCTAGCCATGGCAGGTGCATCACGTAAAACTGTTGCCAATACTGCAGCCCATCCTAAGCAACCGCCTTCAAGAAATAATTGTAAAAGGTATCTTAGTTGTACTTCTGCTCGACTTATCGGTGCACAAGGAGAAGCGTTATGAACTTCGGTTTGTTCTACTGGTTCCGGTGGAACCCAACACACTGTTCCAACTCCTGTCCCAACAATGGACTCGGTATCATCTCTCCAAATGGTACTGCTATCGCTAAGAACACTATTGGCATCTAAAAATGGAGAGATGAAATTGATACTTCCCTTCTACAGGTTAATATATTACGATGACGTATCCAGAAAAGATATTTACCATGTAACATATTTGTTGTCAATTTGGTTTCAGCAGCAGGAAATTGTGTTTCTAAACTGGCAACAGGGGAAACTAAACTGGTGTAAGGTGGTCGACCACTTGGTAAACTAGTGTAACCACTGTCAGGTAAATCAACTGCGAAACTTGAATTCAATGGTTCATCTTCTGGACTTTCTAAGCTAACCGATCTTATTGAACGTAAAGACGTAAGACTGGATCTTCGAAATTTTTGTAAAGTTGGAAGAGACAGTACAGGATAAGCAAATGCAAAATCTTCATGCACTGCTTTTAATGCTGCCACATAATCGTCAATTTTTGCTGCTCTATCTCGCTCCCTGCCAAACCATGTAACTAAATGGAAATCTAATCGTGCTGCAAATCTACCTAAATCTGCGAGTCGTTTCGCCGAGAGTAATCGACGGGCGTGACGTTGTAGTATTACATCGATGAAAAATTCTTCAGCTGAACCTTCCCTGCAAAATAGATTTCACTCCTTTTATTCCAGTTTCTGTATAATTGTTTCGACAGTATTACTTATACTGCACGAATTATGAAAACCTACTTGTTATCAGCCTTTTCTGTTTTAGAGGTATTTGTAGGTACAGACTTTTTGCGTCTCATAACTACATTTCTAGTCTTTTCCAACATCGAAGAAGGAGCTATATCTTTAGCTACTAATTCAGGTTGCACTTTCGGAGTCACAGTAGTACTGTAACTTCGGCTCCTCGAAACTTGCATAGTTCCCAATACTAAAGATAAATCATCTTCGTGAGGAGAAAGGGGTGGCGTTTGTGGAGGTCCTCCTAATTTTGATGTTCCGCTCCAAGACGTACGCGGTGATTCCACATCATTTGGGTCTATTACAACGAAATCGTAAAATGCGAATGTAAATAAGATAGGAAGAAAATACATATTTTGAATACGTTTTTCATTATTTACCAATCGCTCTGAGAAACCGAACGAGATCTTTTGAAAGCTCCCACCTTCCCTGTTCTAGAGCTGCGTCCAACAATAAAGTAGCATGTTGTCGGCTAACGGTAGAAGGTTCTAGATTTTGTAAAATGATTAAGTAACTAGCAGCAGTATCGAGTTGTTGACGTTGCAAACAATCTTGTAAGAGCTTCTTCGGGGGTCCAGCAACAGAGAATAAATAAGGCCAGAGTGCTATTTCAGTCTTTCTAGCACATTGTACAACTGCTCTAGCCCACACTCCTGGAAATTCACGGATGAATTCCACCACAGAAGGCAACTGAGCATCTGGGATTGGTTCTTTACTAGTTGCTTCTTCTTCTAGTACCTCATGAAGTAGAAGTTCTAACGAATGTGGAAAGTATGGCAGTGAAGAACACGATCGAGCAATTTCCCAAGCATGATATCCCAAATTACGGTGAATAAGTTGCCGTAATATTTGATGAAGATAAACTTGACTCTAAAATTGAAATATTATGCAATTATCGTGAATTTTTAACAGAAATTATACAATTCCCGTAACTGGTGTTACAATCGATGCAATTTATCGATAAGCAGCTTCATTTTCATTGTAACGGCAATTATGGGATACCATTAATTGATCAGGAATAGCATACTTACTGTAAGTTCTAATAAACTGAAAGGTAATGAGAAAGGAGAATTTGTATCCGAAGTAAAAAGTACTGTGTCATTCTCTGCTCCCAATAATATAGCATCCTCAAAGAGTATAGCCAAAGGATAAATACGTAAATGAAAAGGTAACATTATCCGTTTGCTCATAAACGTATGCGTTTTTTCTTGATGATTTCTTGGAAATAATGGAAGCCAAACACGCATACCGTGAGCACCACAAAACAACCACAGAGCTTCTGTCAAATGTGGCTTATCTCTTCTCGATCTCCATGGTACCCAAACATTTTCTACATAAGAGGCTAATACTGTTGGGGCACTGCACGTAAACAACTGTAAAATATGTTTAAACATAAAACAGAAATCAAGAATTAAACTAATTCTAAATATATAATTCACGTACAACTTCCGAATTATCAGTACAGTGTTCCCGTTGAACCATTAAAAGACGTCCAGACACATTCAACAAAAGACTTTCAGGATGTGGATGACTTCCAGCAGTTTCTGCACGTATAGTAGTCAAAGTGGCACTTACAACGCAAGCAGGGTGGATACAAAGCCCGCTAACATCTACAGTCTGCAATCTTCTTAATTCAATACTTCCTGCATCTAATATGCCATTTATTTTATATATAAATTCGACAATTAAAATTTATAAAATTATTTTTTTTTCTTTCTACTTACCATTACCGCTTTCTAGTACCATGTCATAAATACTTATTTGCGCATTAGCGCAAAACGTTAGAAGTCTATCTTTCAATGTATTGAGCAATAACACTTGCGATGTCATTCTGGCGGTTCTAACATAATTATTATCCAAACGTGCATCGCGAGGATATATTCTAACTTCATCTTTGTCGTCTAAAATCGAATAACTACTGGCTATTAAAAAACCTCGATGCCATAATAAACCACCAGTTACAATGAAATCACGTTCTTGAGTTTCATTGCCGAAAAGTTTCCATTTACGTGTAGGTAAAGAATAATGAGCTAACCCTGTTCGTCCAGCTACAGCAATACTCATACCTTCATTATCAATAGCAGTATACTAAAATGAACAATCAATTAATAATAGTATATGAGAATAACATCATGTATAAAGTATATATTTATATACTCTTATTGGCCAATTGGAACCGCTATATGCAGTAGGAATAGGAACAACTAGCCACTGTTTACAGCCCGCAAGTGTTTGCATTGTAGAGTCATTAGGAATTTCACTGCCAGTATGAAAAGTCGACGTATTTGTAGACACTCCGCTACCAAGATTTAAATACAATCTATCTTCACCTTGCAAATACAAATGTCCATGATGTCCCTGGTTATGAAAGTATGAATTACAGAAACTGTTTGTTATTAATAAATAAAAGAATTTGTCAAGACATTTTTCGAGTATTACCATACAAGGATTAATTGTTAATGGACTTTTTACAAAATCTAACTGTATCAAAGAACGTCTTAAATTAACTGTTTCATTTCCATTTTCCTCGGTCAAAGACGGACCTGGAGATTCTCGTAACATCCAAAGCTGATAGCCTTCTGCAGACCATTCCTAAAATACATAAAAGGTAAGTTTCAACGAAAATTTATATTGGAAATTCATATCAATAAATACACTAACCATTGTATAGATATGTAAAGGATTATCATGAGACAAATCTACTCTTAAACCATAATCCCATTTTAAACTACAAAGTAAGAGAGCACCAAATGTACTCCACACTGCTAGGCCACCATCTTCCCAAGCTAATGCTATGGCACAACTATCAGGAGTCCACCTTAAGCATCTTACACGACCTGGTCTTCCTGGATAATCTTTTGAAGATAGACTTAACGTATGCGACATCTCTAAACCTCCTGTTGTTTCATCCACATAGTAAACTACACCTTCAGAACTAATAACAAAAATTATATGTTGTACTCAAATGAATTTATAGAAATATGTATTTTGATTTGAATTTCAAGCAGAACAAAACCTACTTTTGCCTGCCAATCGCAATAAGGCGATATTTATGATTCACAGCTGCACATGTAGCATCATCAACATCTCTAGCCCAAATTCCTTGTACTTGCTAAAAAATGATATTAGTGAAAAATACGATGTTTCTGTATTTAAAAGAGAATTAACATACATTAGGATCAAATTTCAGTGACTGTGCAGTGAGGAATGCTGCTTTGCCAGTATTAAGAACAATTGCAAATCCACCAACTAAAGGGGAATATTCGATGTCAGTAACATAAACATTATTCTCCGTCAGTGGTACAGCCACAGTAGATATTTGTTGATCTACGCTAAATGGTATCCTCCTTAAATCAAGAGAATAATCTCTATTCACAGTGCCATCCCATTTATGACGTATTATGTGGCTAGTCTTTGTAGCTACCATCAACTCATCACGTATACAAACTAAAGAACTAATACCACCATCTATCCATGCTGATTTCTCCTAAGAAAGAAATACATTTTCAAACAAATATTTCCAAAGAAGTATTTATATGTGTACTCACAAATGTTAAGACTAAAGAAGGAATAATTTCTTTGATAAAAAGTTCAGCACTATCTCTTTTTAAACTAGTAACCGGAGAATCTCTTTGTTCATAAAGACCTCTCCCTTCTGGGCTAGAGTCTGACAATCGGTAAAATAAAAGATAGCTATCTGAAGTCTGAAAAGAATTTACATTACAATAATTAAAATCTGTTTAACCTCCTGTTTGTAATTGATTTTATTATATAACTTCTCATACCGCAATAACCAACATACTGGAATCTGGTCTCCACTGTACCAAAATATTCTCGCCATGTTTCTTTAAAGAATCCGTGGTTCTTCTGACAAATACAATGGGTACGCATGGCTGTAATTAAATGTATTTGTGTTACAGATTACATATACATATAAACATACGGTAAGTATGGTTATGATTTCATTTAAAAAGAAAATATTGATATTGAATGTAAATGAACTAACATCGATGGCTGAACCACAACTTCTATTCTTTACAGTTACATTTTATAAAGATGTTATATGAACCTTTACGATTGAAAATCGCGGAGAATTGTATTTTATTTCGTAAAGCTCTAATTATCGTACAATGAAGACGCATTTAAGAAACATGCCTTGCAATTCCAGATGGTTAGAGAATCTGTGGTCAAAACAGAGAAAAGTATCTTATCCCTGTTACAAACGATTGCAGTTATCTTCTCCGGGTCTGTCGTGTTCAGAACCCGTGGCCACCCGATCGGGAAAAACATGATTTTTTTCAATATTGTCCACTTTTCATATTTACATTCCTGTTCTGTTTAAATTGCGGTTGCGTTTTATTTCTTGCACTAAAGAGTCTGACAAGTAAACACATCCTAACCTCACCATCTTGTAGTGAGCATAAACGCTAGGTTACTGAAACAATACGAAGCGAGGTATCCTGAGATCCACGTAGCACAATACGTGAGAACTATTCATAACGCTTGAACTACTTATCGGATTCATGCTTATTTGCATTGCCGTGTGTAATCATTAACACTAGACGATATATTTCACCGTTTTATTCGCGTGTACACAACAGTTAACATGAGTATGTACAAATTTAAAGGGAACATAGTGTAACGTGTAATTCTATATACGTACACGCATACATATCCTGTACAAGTATATCAGTATTGCTTAACTATAGGACATTCCAGCGTGACAAGTATTCAAATGTTATGAATACTTTTCACATGCTGTTACGCGAATAAATGTCACATTTAAATTACAGATAAATTCAACTATTTACGTTCATATTGTAATAATACTCGTCCAAAAATGTTCCCACTACTAACTCTACTTGAATTTGACATTGAATTCAAAAGTAATATATAATTAATTGATAAATCCGGATAAGAATGGCTAAATTACTAAATACTTGTTATTTTCAAAGTTTAAACGTAAACAATTTTGTTTCATATAGGATACATATATTTCGTATTTTAAGTTGAATCAATTATCGGATCGAAGACTGCATCTATTTGTAGGTTCGAAAAATAAATATTTAAGTAAGGAGAGGAATGGAAATGATAGAAGTCGAACAAAAATGAAAATCGAGACGAAATTACAACGAAAACATAGTAATATATATTTTTCACAATGTCCCGTAATTATTGCAATATAATAAGTAATAGTAAAGCGTCGAAAATAGCTCACGAATCAACGTCCGTACAATGTGTGTATATTCTACTTAAGATTCCGAAGTTCGCACATTACTGATCAATATCACAGAATCTCGTAATCGAAACGTTCTCATATAATACTATCCGCTTAAGTAGATGCAAACGGCGAATATATGCGTAGCTTTTAAAATTCTCAACAAACTGTCACTTGTAATTACAGGTAGACTAATACACATATTTACATTTATTCAGGCGGTTAGCCTCTTATTGCTAGGTACACTATAACAATAGATATAAATAACGCACAGCTCGGTGATTACTTCCAAATATATCCATCATCGGTGAAAGAGCCGCGTACTTGAAACGGAAACACGAAATCAGAAGAGCAACGTAAAGTTATCGAATGTATAAATCAATTCCACGTAGAAATAATTACTTTTATAAAAAAGAAAAACTGAAAACTTCTTTCAAGGCTTTCCCGAGCAATCGTTACGTACCAAAAACACAAGTACAGTATGCGCAGCGTTCGTAAACGAAAATGGTCGAAATTATTTAGTTAGACTAGGCGATATTACTCTCTATAACAACAATCTAAACAAACTTCGTGTTCCAGGTTTAGAGATCCGAATAATCTAGAAATCAAAGGACATTTAGTAGGTCGGTTCCATTGACGGTGGCATGGCATGAGCAATTTTTGATGGTCGGCCGAATCCTCGAGTGCCATCCGGCCCAGACGGCATTCTCGTCACATTTTCTGGTAGGTGAGTCAAAGTCACGCCACTGTTGCTCCTAGGTCGGCAGAAAGTGGCCTGTTCGGAACCGGAGGAGCATAGGGACAGTCTCCTTGCGGACATGTCGAAGCCGGAGTCTCGGCTACACGCGGACAGCTTCCTCAGGTATGACCCATAATCCGTGGAACCACGACGACTAGAGTGATAACAGGCAGCGCTACATTCCGAACTTGAATTCGAGCAACAGGAGAAACGTCGGTTCTCCTGGTAATAGTAATTCGGCGGGAAGACCGGGTGGCAGTAACCGGTCTCCGAACCAGAGGAACAGGCAGAGTAGCGTCTGCCGAAGCTTCCGATTTCCGAGCCAGAACCGGAGCCAGACCCCGAACCGGAACAGGAAGACAAGCGGCGAAGAATGAAACCGCTTTCCGAGCCTGACACCGAGCAGCCGGATAATCGACGAGATAGCCATGCGTCCGGCGAAGGCGGTCCTGTAATCAAATTTACGATATTCGAGCAAAGCTTCCGTATTTCGGCGGTAAAATGTTTGGCATGCAGGACTTTCGAAAATTGTCTTGCTACTCCCCTCTTACAACACATTGCGTGCCGGAAACGAGAAATCTCGTTTTTATATAAAGACACTTAGCTGTACAACTTCGCTAATTAAAAATATAAAATTTGATTCGAATTGATTGTCAATTTAAAATATATTACATATAGATATAATATCTGAGTTTTTCTATGTATAGTGATATAAGTTGACCTCAGTGAAAATTGCCAGCCGCACAATTCAGTTTTCTGAAAATTAGCCGGTACGCAATGTGTTAACACCAGAACTATCGATCACTGAAACTGACTTTTACCAATTTCTGTATACACACCATAAGCGTGCGTTTGTTAAGATTTCAATTGAGTTGTAATTCAGTTTTGCTATCACTGAATTAGTTTCGTTAATAATTCTTCGTGAAAGTATCCGCACCTTCTCAGTAATAGTAAAAGAAGAAATCGGAAATAAGTCGTTTTGACTTATCTGGTAGTTCTGGCGTCGATGCAAGCTGTCAACCTAATTTTGCTGTCCGAGAACTAATGTCTATTAAATTTCTGTTTCAGAGTTTTACGGGTCTATACCCGAGGTAACTGTCTTTCTACTCTAGGTGTAGGGTATCATCATGAGATATGTTAATCCTATGCGGTTCTATGATAAGACCGCTTAGACATTGAATTTTATTTTAGCATCAACTTTATCAATTCTTGCTACGGATATTTGTAATATCATAATTATAAGTAGGGTGAAAAAGTGTATCGTACAAAAGCTGCTTGGTTTGTGTTATTTTGCTTTTTTGCAGAAATGTGAAGATCACCTTCACTGATTTAAATGGAGTGTTTATATTTCCTTCGGAATTAGGATGGAGTATCAAATTCTATGTAAAACATTGTCACATGGAGTAAAGTCTAATATGAAGACCCACTGAGATATTCTTAAATTAATTATCTGGCATTAGAAGACATACTTAATCGACGTGACTTTAACACGACTTCACTCACGACGTCGGGTTGTCTTTATAAACAGTTTTCGCAAGATTCCTTCAAGAGATTAGTCTTGGAAATACTAGCAGATATTAGAGATACTAAGGTATCTCACATTGATGACGTGTAACGTCTTACATCCACTTGTGTCACGTTGACTAAGCACGTCTTCTAATGCAAGATAATTAATTTAAGAATATTCCAGTAATTATTCATTGGAAAATCAGAAGTACTTCGAGCTGCAAGGAATTAAGTGTCAGGAGCAAAACTCGCTCTTTCGTTTCAGCATTTTTTCAATTAATTTTATGAGTGTCATTTTCAGGAAATGTTATTTTTCTGACAAGAAATACGGTTTGTAAAAGCGACAGTGGAAACGATAAACAATAATTGCGCGTGTACCTTGAAAGGGGTGGCCCGGATAAGCGTGATACATTGGATAACCGTGAATGGGTTTCTTGTGTCTAGCTTTCCCATCTTCGGCCTCGGATCCGCTGGCACAACTCGAAGAGTTGTAAGCTTCCTCTTTGGACAATCTCGTCAAGGCAGTTTTCTTCGTTGACTGTTGTTTCCTCTTCTTGTCGCTGGATTGTTGCAGCTCGAACACCTTGGCATCGCCCAGGGTCATTTGCAGAGCAAGACGAGCGGCCGCTGAGTCTGTGAACTCGACCATCGCGCACTCCTCGCTGGACGCTAACTCTGGCCTCTTGGCGATCGCTTGTCGCACCTGTCAATCGAATAAAAATTTCTTTTAACGATATAGAAGTCATTTATCTGTCAACGCGATTAATTCCATAAAACAGAAAATAGTGTTCTAACAGTGAAACTTTAAAAAAATTCGACAAGTAAAGTTGACGTTTCATTTTAGGTATAACCATCGACAGCCATAATCCATGCAACGAAACGAGAACAAAAGTATGTCAAAAAGAAATTCGCAGATGTTAAACACTGAAACTATTATAGGGATCCGACTGTTACTTTTACGGTAGTTATTTAAAATTTCTCCACATAGTTTTAAACGAATCTGCTTAGTACAGGTTAAAGACATTACCTCCGCCGGCGCAGGGTGTCCTGGTCGAAGAACCCTGATAAGAGCGATCTCTCCGCACGGTCGAAAGATTTCTGCCACGGACTCTACCGACAACTTCTCTAGCGGAAGTCTCGCGGCCAAAATCGTCCTCGAAGGAGCGGTTTGATCGAACGGTGGCAAAGGATCGACTCTACGCAGTTTGGTCCCTTGCGGATTGACCTGTAGTCTCTTCGATTTGGCCAAAGCAGTGCCAACCACCCTCCAGTCTCTGCTGAGATGCTTCACCCGCTTGAAGCTCGAGATCAGTTTCAAAGATACGTAACCTTCCTTGTTCCTCTTCACGTGTTTCAGCAAAAACGCGTCTTTAACTATGTTTTCATCGGAGAAGTAAAACTCCACTTGGGTGCATATCTTCTCCGCCAGTTCGTCGCTGGGCGGGATGAAATCGTCCTCCGCATCGTTCGCGGTTCCTTCGGCCGGTCTTTTCTCTTGCTTCAGATTCTTCGACTCGCTGGTGTTAGCGTCTTCCGTTAGATCAGCGCCCGAATCCTGATCCGAATTTAGCTGCTGTTTCGCGAGGTTCTTCTTTTTCATCTCGTTATCGGAACTCGCACTGTCCGACAGATCGGCTTCCTCCCCTTTGGAGCCCCTGCGGTCGAAGGAAAGGCTCACGTCGCTGTCCACGGAAGAAATGCTGTCCCTCGTGTCTGACTTCTTCATTGGCGGCGGGGAGAACATCAAGCTGCCCACCGTGTCCCTCGACTCCTGCTGAACATCCACTTCCTCCATGTCAACGGGCCTCGACTTTCACTGAAGAGAAGGTGAATCCGTACGTCCAGAGGGTTTCTACGCGCGCGTCCTCCCAGTGAATCCTCATTCGAGGCGTTCCAGCGCGATGCCTTTTTTCCGACGAACACTTCCGAGACCGTCGCAAGCTCCGCTTCGGCAACGAACCGATCGACCAGTCAAACGGTCATCCTGTTCGTCGCGTCACGATCGGACAGCGATCGGTTCGAGCATCGAGTGGTCCGGAGAACGGGTGACCAATGCTAAGCGGTGCCGCTTCTATCGGTCGAGGAAAAAAGAAATCGGTTGTCTGGCGTCGACGGTGTCTCCGTTTTCCCGTCACCAGGTCCGACGCGTTTGGTGGCGCCAAATCGAATCTACGGAGACAGGCCGGCAGGTCTATTAAACGATTCGATGGCACACCGACGATCTACCGGGAGGGGAACTCGCGGAGGACGAATGGATCCTAACGGAGAGGGGGGCTGTGTCAAAGGGGTAAAGGCGACGGAGTTCGGGGAGAGAAAAAAACAAGAAGGATGGGTGTAAAGGTGCTGTTATTCCCCCTCTGTTTGGGAACGCGTGCTCGTTCGCCTCGGAAGGGGGAGGAAAGTGGGGGACGTTGCGCGATTCGTGACAGTTCGGGGAAGAGTGGCCTTCCCGAACACGCGTCCATCTCTTTAAATACTTTCGCCCGTGGGTCGCGCATGCGTGATTACATGTGCGCGACAAACCACCCTGAGGTCGTGACCTTCCTAAATACCGGTCAAGAGTGAGACGCGAGACACATGGACACCGGCAACGTTGGTAACGCCGCGAAGGGTGTTCGGTCGGGAACTCGCGGAGTAAACATGCACCAGAAGGGTTGCTCGGGATGACTCACATTTTGGTCGGTCGTCTAACCCTAAATTGATTACACCTCTGACGACGTTCATACGTTCCATGAAATCAGCGAGAAAATTGCGGCGACGCTCGAAACACCGATTCCACGTCCCACGCTTCGACGTAGAAGAAATTATAGACCGTCAGCGTAGCGTCTGTTCGAGCAAATGATTCGTCTACCGGGTAAAAAAAGGATTATCGCCTGGTTATTCAGGGTCGCTTGTTCCCCGTGCGTAACATGCAATGATCGTTAACTTCCAGACCTGCGTTACGTGGAAACGTAACGACGAGAATTGTTTCTGTGACACGCACATTTCTGCGGGGATATATCTGTAGGTTTTGTTGGAAAATATTTAATGAATACGGGTGAACGATCTCGATTCTAGCCCGAGAATTCGGAGTGTCGTCGACGAAATCCGCTCACCGCGATGCGTCGTAACCGTCTATATCGAATGTTTCGCGCGGTGGAAATGTTGAGGGAAGGAGCAACGATCCCAGAAATACGTTTCACTCGTATTCCCATTCAGGGTACGAATGGGAGAATTGCGAAACTAGAAAGACCGACACGTACTCCTCGACTCTTTGAACCTAGTCTGTGTCTGTCACGGAAGTTGGGGCGGCGAGACGGCTGCTACAGGAAGGAAGGATTTCTTTACGGTGGAGGTAAATCTCGGCAACCTCGAAGAGACCCGCCAGGCTTATTCGCGAACGCTTCGTATTGCATCCGGACGCTGCCAGCATAATAAGATATAGGTCAAGTGCGGCTGGTACCATGTATGGCCATACCTGTAGTGGGGAAGGACGAAGATATGCGCAGGTTATCGTTGTCGAATCGAAAGGGTTCATTCTTTGTCTTCGTCTCCCTGTCTCCTCGCCTCTTCGTCTATTTCGGATACCACCTGTTCGTTGGATGTCGTTTACCATTAATCTCGTTTCTCAGCTTGATCGAAATGTTCGAATTTTGCGTAGAATCGAAGAGGAGAGCGTCGATTGAGCGCGTGCTCGGAAAAAGGCGTCCGTTACATTTTACTGAATGTAAAAACCATTCATTGATTGGTTCAGTCGTTAATGGAGCAACTAATCTTCATAAAAAAAATATCTTTTTAAAATAGGAGAAAAGCGTGTATTACGTCAATTGGCGCGGCAAATAATGAATTGTTTTTGCGTTTTCCTGTAATACGCTTCCATTTACGCGGAACTTTCTATACGCGATTACTTTTTATTTATATAGACTGTAACACCGTTTGCGCGATTTTTTTAGAGGCGATCTGAATTTGGTGGCTCTAAATAAAATGTATCTCTGTTTTCCGAAATGGTAGTATTATTACTCTTTTGCCGAGCTGCGCGAAATAAATATGTGTTTCTAAAATTTATGCCAGCTTTCCTTTTCAATGTTTCGTTTTCTTTCGTACTGATAGACTCTATTCACGCGATTGTCATTTGCGTAAAACGAATCCACGTCGAACGGATACTCCGCGGAAATAGAGAGACGAGTGTATTATAGTTACGAAATGGAACATACACCCTTCTTTTAGACGCCCGATTCAATCCATTAATTTTAAAATTGTATTCTCATTGGATGAATGTTGAATAGCATTTATATATCATCAGCGCATTTGGTGCCACTGCGATGTTCGATGGTGAGGTTCCATTATTTGAAAATGATCAGAGTATACAAGGAATCGTTAACTGAACATACTAAATCTTTGAACGTATACAGCTCGAGACATTTGTTTACAAGGAATACCAACAGTCAAAGAAATCGATAGCGGAGAATTGGATTAAAATTTGCGTAAAAGTGTTTGAAGGATCGGCGCATAACCCTCTTAGATATATGTATGGCTTCATAGATTGCGTAATCAGCAGGTCGGACCTATTGGAAATAGGTGTACCGGTGAGTAACGCGCACGTTTTACTTTATCTATAATATTTATAAACTTGCAAGTGCCATTTTTCAGTCGACAACGATAATCCTGCAAACGGTAAATAGTAGAAAAATAATGTTCTAAATTCTCACGTTCATTCAGATTCAGTCTGTGAACGACCGTATTTAGCGCGTACACGTATACAGCATATATACGTCAAGTATTCAACTTCCCTGAGGCGGTATTTCAAAAGAGAACCTGTTAAAAAGCTATATGGGCACACAAGTAGAATGCAAAGATCCGCTGCACAGGGCACAATATTTAATTAATATTCATAGCACGTATGCTGGATTAGAAACAATAGAAAATGTTTCATTTGTCCGGGATTTTAATATCTGCAACATCGAGTAAAGTTGATTAAAGTTTATTTCGTACGTTGCGACATTGATCAGAAACTCCTCGTAACTTAATAGGTCGAGTTAAGCGGGAGTAGATAATGAATCAGAGATTTACCACATATTAAAGAAGTTTGAGCGATGGATGAAAGTAAATGAATATTCGTTAGCTATTCCGATCGCGGCTAGAGATAAACGCCCCGGAGCATTCGTCAAACGTTCCATCGCCCGAGGCGAGTATTGCCAATAAATGGTATGAATAGAGAGCGCACGCTGCCTCTACATGTATTGTTGCATGATCTAACTTGTAAATGTGGTTTCCACCTCTATCGCTTTTAATCGGAGCCTCCGGTTCACTTCTCTATTTAATTGGAGTACCTTCGGCGATTTTTCTCGCGAGAAAAAATTGAAATTTACAATACACCAATTAGTGCCATTTTTAACAATAGAACTACGGAATGGATTAAAATGATCGGGTTTATTTTTTTACAAATATTCTCTAAGACATCGACACTACAACTATCAAACAGGCAAAATGATCCATTCCTGGTTTCCTTCTTTTGCAGTTATTAAAAAGGTAACAGATAATTCTCTGAAAACACTAAAATTATTTGCTGGGTGAGATTTCAAATTCTATATTTAATCTTAATTTCTTATTATCTTATTATCTATTATATTGTAAAATTCTTGCTTTGTAAACTCTTTACACTTCATTTATATCTCTTCCTTTTTCGTACTAAAGGGCAATCGACTGTCAAATAAATAAATAACAAAATAAATAAAAAAATTGATTTAGTAATACCCAAATTGAATTGTAAATCAATAGGAATCTCAACGAATGCGCTCTAGAGTTTCTACAGAAGAATTTTGAGAAGTCAGTTTGACTGCTCGGTAGTTCTAATGTTAAACAAATTAATTTAGTAGTAGGCAAACTGAATTATAATTGAAACCAGATTGTTATAAATGTACTGTTTCTATCAGAGAATAAAGATTAATCGGTTTATCTACTCGGTAGTTGTAGTGTTAATAATGCAGTTAATATAATTAATGCAAAACCAATAGAGGAAAATGCATGTGCAACAGTACCGATAATGTACGAACATGCGATTCATTTCGATAACGCGAATAATCGCGCTACAGGAATTTTCAGGCGTTCTAATCGCGTATTATCAGAGACCTCTGGGAAAGACGTTAGACGCAAGCAATTTATTATATTTCTCGCGCGTGTCCTTGTTAATCTCGGCGCGCTTAAATAACAAACGAGCGAGGTCTATTCCCGCCAACAATTCTTAATCTGAATTCTTGAAGGAAACTCGCCGGTTGCGTGACCTCGCTCTTCACCGTCATGTGTCATTCACTGACCGACCTTTGTCGATATTTATTGATGCCGATACTCACTCGGCGCGCAGTACTGTGGGATCCTTGCGATCTACAAGCGTCGAGCTAAATTTTGGTCAGTAATTGAATTCGATATTGGTTCGAACAGGAGTTGGAATACGTAACCGGTTACCTGCGTTCGACGAGTAAACACGTCATAAGGCTTGAAATGATACTAAATCTTTCAACGATGAATTCTTTATTTTTTCACATAAACATGTAATCCTTCTTTACTTTGTTTTGGTTTCCCATTAAAATAGGTGAATTCGTCCTGCGTTTGACGAATGCACACTTCATTTTTTCATTTTATTGCGCGCAAAACGAGAGATTTTTCAAACTAAATTCCACAGTTAACAGGTTAACACATTGCGATCGAATATCGCTGTAACAGACAACTTCGAGCAGCCATACGTAAAATCGAAAGTTACCAATAAATCATTCAATTATTCAGATAATGAGAAATCGGCAGGTGGTCTTCATTTTTTCTAATATCGCAAATTTCGAAGCATAATTCAATTCTTTATGGACAGAATTTGTAGAAGTTTAGCGAATTCCCGTCCGCAAAGAGTGAGTCGTAACTGGAACTATTCCGGACTCCGGCAAGAAAGAGGAACGGGACACGGTCAGGGTGCTCGATAGTTCTCCAACGATCGCGAGGGCGAATCGGCGATTCCCTGAGGCGATTCTCGGTGCTCCGAGCGGCGGCGGCGTCGTCTTGTTCTGTCCGCTGGAGACAGGAGCAGAACTCAAACTGGGTCAGGGCAGCGCGCCAAATGGTTGGATCAATTTTATTTTAAATTTATCAAGTTCGCTTCGGCTCCACGGACACGCGTGATCAGTTCAGATTTCCAGTCTGTGGCGTACTGTTTAAAGTGCTGCCTTGTATTTGTAACACGGAAACCAGACGCATGGTACCCACCTACTCATCTATCTATGTATCTGCCTCGTACACTTTGATTTCTTATTTTTCAGAATCAAGGCAGTCCGCGGTCAACGATTCGCGGGATTTTCTAGTTACAGTCGATTATAAAAAATGTATCCGTCGAAATCTCTTCGAGCTCTTGCGCGTACGATCGCGTGCGGCAAGAAAGAAAATTACCGGAGAAAAATATCGACGGTTTAATGCAGGAAATTGACTAAAAGAGATAACGATTCAGGGCGAGGCGACGGCTTGAAAAAGAATTGTCAATCTGAAACTGAATTGCATAATTCGAAAGAAGCGTCGGAATCCGTTCACCGATTCATCTCGTTTCCGCCGGCGAGGACGGGATAAACTAACGATATTTAATTGCGCGTCGTTAACTGCAATTATACTTCTTTAATGAACCTCGAATCCAAGGAAGTGCGTCCTCTTAATTTTCTTCTGTTAAGTTTGTAATGGACAGCCTTCCGCTGTCCTTCCTCCTCAACCGGTGAGGCATTCAGGTCTCCGGATAAATCTTCAATACAATCGAATCCTTTTTATTTTCTTCTCAGATTGTTCAATCCATTCTAATTACTCGTAAGAGGTGGATGGATCATCGTGGTGTAAGGTCGTTCATCGATTACCTGCGATTGCCTTCTTGGTACAGTGACAAAATTTAAGAAAATGTCACGTCATTTCTCGTTCATACGGAATCGAATGGGGCCGTTAATTATTTAAACGCATCCGTATTTGAGCCTAGTTTATGCAAAATAATATACGAACATCTTTACATATGAAATAATGATCGGTTTGGTTGAGTAATATAATATTATGTATCTGATTACAAATCAAGAACTCGTATGCACACGTGCTTTCAGGAAACGATTATGTCTCGTAACCGATCATACATATTAAGTAGTGGAAACGTTGTCACACGTGGAATAACTAACAGTGGAGAACCACTGGATGTGTGTGAGTCAGGCAGAGTAAGGTCCAGTGTAAGGCCCTGGGGTGATTCGCCTAGACGGCCATGACCATATTACAGGCCAGAGGCCTCCAATACCATCCAGTAAGCTCACTTCCAGTAACAATTGGCGAAATCATTGCTGGCAAGTTAACATGCGTGTTTACAACGCTAGAACTCAAACGAAGCAAAATGTATTTCTTTACGCTACCGCATCGCAAATTACGTTTGTCCTTCATTGAGTGTATATATAAATGTGTAACTGCAATGTTTAATCAAATGTTCCCTTTTTTTTGCGATAAAAACACCTAATGAGTACGTACTCGCAAGCTAGAGGAAACAGTTGAAAATACAACTTGAAAAAGCACATGATTTCAGAAATGTAAGAACTGTATTTATAAAACTTTACAAAATATAGAAAACTTATAGCATTTATTAACCGGTTTGATTAATATTTCTGTAGAATCTTGAATATTGCATGATACATGTATACTTGAATGCGCAGATCCTTACAATTCATATATATTTATAGAAACAATTTACAGAAAAATTTATCGTCAACGGTATTGTGGACAATGTTGTTTTATTATCGACCTTGAAATATCTGCATGACCTGCAACATAACAAATAAATAACGATATTTCTTTTCAACGCTGTTTACAATTAAAAATATTATTAGTATTACCTAATTGTAATTCTATATATAAAGCTAACATTATTACATGTATAGGAACATCGCAGTCTGGTCCTTTAGACATCCATACCTAAAAATATTTACATGATATTCGGTAAGAATGATCGATAATTAATATATACGAAGCTTTTCAAAATTGTTAATTACTTGTTTTAAAGTTTCTCCAGATTTGTCAAGTTCACCACGAATCGCATAAGCTACAGCTAAATTATATTTAAGTACAGCGATACCGGTAGGAACAGTCGTCGGATACCACACTATAAAATGTAATTGATAACTGTATTGCATTTAAATAGTACTAATTGACTTAAAAGTTTACAGGAGATTATTCTTACTCTTTATAGGTTTTGAAACAAATTCATCGTTTTTATCTTTATCTTTATCTTGCGTTTCAGGTATGGGTACGAAAGTATTCAAATCTTGAATATTTTCCGGTTTAAGATATTCAATTGCTTCGCTAATTTTGTCCATAAATATTAAACTTTCCGCGGCATAAAGATTTCCTAGCATTTTATATGCTCCTGGTAATTTATTGACATTTAATAGTGATTTGGCGTGTTCGAGAGCAACAACGTAATCGCCCAGACATAAACACACGTAAGCACTAGCTGCCAAAACACTGATTTTCAAATTTAATGCTTCAACGGTAGACACTTGTGACATTAATGTTGAATGTTGAGCACCTAAAAATTTGTGTTTAATTCATTATATTCATAATCACGTTAAACAACATTTATATCTTTGTTGCACAAATAAATACTTTGAATACCTAAATTATGACCAGCTGTTAATGATAAAGGTACTGATTGCGAGCCAGTAATTGTTGTAATTGGAACATTAAGTTCATTAAGTTCATTGATATTTGGCAATAAAAACAATGCATTCTTTAAACAAAGAGATGCAAATTCTAATGTTAACTGAGGCATTGCAGACGGGAAACTTTCAGAATGATATTTTATATCTTTAGAAAGAGAAGAAGCCAAAATAATTTTTCTATGAATTCCAGACCCTAGAACCCTCTGTACTAAATCCTTTCTTCGTTTCGGAATATTAAAATCAACTTCATTTGTCTAAAAACAGGATAAGAATTATTTTTTACTTTTAACAATATTCTAGAAAAATATAATTCCATTTACTTACCGATTTGTGACAATAAATACAACATTCTGCAACTCTTAACCAAAGTTTAGGATTATTATGAAGTTTCTGAGCAGCTTCCATAAAACAATCAAAAGCAGCTGATGCCTGATTCGCATGTAATAATGATACACCTAAACTGTACATTAACTGATAGTGTTTGTTTCCACCAAGCGTGTACAAAGGTTGTGAAGAAAAAGGATCTAAATCAAAATATTCTCTTCATATAAACTACTTTCAACATCTGAGTTTATAAAATAAAATTTGGAAAATAAAAAATTAATACCATAATTACCACTATCTTTTGATTGTACGCTTTCCACTGCACATTTATTTTCATGTAAAGCTTTTTTCAAATAAAAACACGCTAAATTTGGTTTACCCATCGCAAGATGTATACAAGCCATATTATTATAATACAAAACAGCGGGGGACTCTCCGCTAGTTCTGAAAGCAATAAGTATATGTTTATTGATGCATGTTTTTAATAATATCGTATGTTATTATAAATTACATATAAACTGAACATACTTAAAATCCATATTTTCTGATGTTACAGAGTTTAATAATTTAATAGCTTTTTTGTAATTTCCCCGTAAGTATTCAAGATTTGCTTTTAAGAATACTGTCGAAATATTCTAAAAAATAAAATAAAATTTTCAGAAAAAAAGAAAAATGTGTCTAATAAATTAAGAAGAAAATAGTTTAAAAATATTATTTTGTATCTTACTACAGGTGTACCCAAAGAAACCAGGACCTTCCACTCCCTTTTACACAACTTCAGTTGATGCATCATAAGGTATATCCTAGCTTTACATTTCAATAATTTTATTTTAAATGCATCAGTGACTGTATCAGTTTCCTTTTTTTGATCTTTCTGTTCTGTGACAGGTTTCATTATACCTTCCTTATCAACAGATGCAAGTTTAGAATTATCTGTTGATATCAGTTGACTTTCTATATAGTTTATTAAAGATAATGCAGCATCTGGTTGATTAGTTACTATATGTAGTTCTATCAGGAGTAGGCAAACTTTGTGAGCTAACGATTCTTCTGAAAGAAAAATATATATGCATTTTAAATTAAATTCAACGACTACCATTTTCTTTTTGTAGTGGAATGTTTCCATTTAAACATTTAGAAACTATTTTATCATAGTTATTTGCTTTAATATCAATATTATACATATAATTATTTGGTACATACCCATAGGTTCTATAAAAGCAAATAATCTATTGATAATTTGAAGCGATGCACTGTATTGTTTTGTATGATATAATAAAACGGCTTGATTATATCTCATAACACACTTCTGAATGTCGTCTATAGTTTCAGTTGAATCAGTCAATGACATTTGTCCACATATTGCATTTAAACTTTTTCGTAATAATTCTGTTTTTTTCAAGTCATTTTTATAACATTCTACTACAACTTTATTGTGCATTACTTTTAAATCCTTCGGTCTAAGAGTTTCCAATTTATTTAAATATGACAAACAACTGGTATATGATCCTTTATGAAATTCAGAAAGCGCATTTTGCGCTAATTCGCATTCTTGTTCTGTTAGAGTTCCTGGACCAATGTCCTTATTTTGCGTTTCACTTGTCTCGCTCATTTTTATTTATTAGAACTAGTATTCATCATAATGAATATCATGCAATTTTACTTGGTTTTTGCAATGTTTGGTTGAATATTATCATCAATTTCAACGATTGACATTTATTTAGGTTAAAGTTGTATTAAATGATTATGAATTGCTTACTTTATAATTAAAGTACATTAAAATCGAATACATAAAAATAATATTATAGCGAGTTTTATTCAAAATCATTCGCTATATATTTGAATTAATTAAATAATTTCCTAAAACTTTAACAAAACCATGATTTCGTCTGTATCAATACCGATTAATATAGCAGACCACACTGTTTCAACGATGTAGAGGTCGTCAGAACTAGCGGCACTTTTCTTTGTCGATGCTACAGATACCTACCTAACTTCGCAAAGTTCCATATAATGTTCGTTCTATCTTAAACTTATCTATGGTGTGAATGTGTTTATGAAATATAATAAACAACAAAATGAATATTGTTGGGAGACAATGTCTTAGAATTTTTCAGCATGACGTGACACAACAAAATCATTTCTGTTTTCTTAGGAGAGCACTTACATATAAAAGTGCCTTATCTCTAGACAAAATATATCCTACGAGTAACCTAAAACTGTACACACCAGCTTTCGTAAGTTTGTCATTATTTTAAATAAAAGACCAATATTTTTTTTCATAATTGTGTTGTGTATTGTTAATATTTAATGTCAAGCTCTATATTAAATACATATATATCAATGTCAGATATATATTTACAATGTCAGATTTATTTAGGTTCCTGAAGATCCAAATGCGAAATTCAGTGGTTACATACCTATCGAAGAACTGAAAATAACATACAGTTGTAGTAGTGGACCTGGAGGACAACATGTTAATCGTACAAATACTAAAGTAGATCTTAGATTCCAAGTAAAAAATGCTACATGGTTGTCTGAGGAAATAAAAGAAAAATTATTGGAGAAGGTTTGTAATTTAAACCATATAGTAATTAAAGTATACAATTATCTAAAAAAAATAATGTTTATTGCAGTACCAGAACAGAATATCCAAGGATGGTTATTTTATAGTTAAGTCAGAATTAACAAGGTCTCAACATCTGAATCTAGCAGACGCTCTAGAGAAATTAAGAACAATGATCAGAGAAGTTATAAAACCTCCACCAGAGATATCTCCTGAAACTGCAGAACTTAAGCGAAAACGACTACTGGCTGCAGCAAGGAAACGAGTTCACGAGAAACGAATGAAATCTGAACATAAATCGCGACCCAGTGCGCATGATGCAGATTTCTAATTATTACCCATTGTTGTATTATATACCATATATAGAATAATATTGTTGAAATAAAGGGAATCATAATAAAAAATAATAACAGAATTTATATATTAAACTTAATCTTAAGTAAAAAACTTGAAAGTAATTGTTACAATCATCCAAATATAATGATAATTATTTTATTGAACCTATCTGTCATCAGCATAAAATTTCCAGAATAAGACAACAATAATTTTTCAACGAAATTAGAGTATAGCTTTGTATTTAAAATTTGTTTATTGTTTAAATCATTTTTGTCATATAATAACATTCTTCAAAACACCTGTTGTTAAAAATACAATAGTAAGTACACATGTACTTATATATAGAAGTACGAGTTTCCTTGGCAACGTCTATCATGCTTAAATGAAAACATTAACCATTATCGATGAATAGTAGTATTATCCAGTAGTAATTTCTTTCCTGTACAATCATGTCGTTTCGCGATCTAAGAAGTATGTAAATCACAGATTTTGTTAACAATTATTTTTGAATATATCGCGGTGTACACCTAATAAGAAAATTGCGTTAATTATTTTCTAGACTTCACGGAGATGATGCGTGTGCTCGGATATCCGAGATTAATATCAATTGGAAATTTTCGTTTACCGAATTTTCCATTAGTCGCGGAAATTCTTATTTGGCTGGTGAAAAGATTCGATCCTGACGCTGATGTTCCCACTGAGCACAATACCGAGGAAGAACGTATTGCTTTAATACGTGCTGTTGCTGAATTTATGGTAAGAAATTGCGAAAGAAATCGCTATTTCTTTTTTACTGAAAATAAATTATTTGCATATTCAAAATGGTATCATTTGTTATATGGGAATGAGAGAAATTGCACTAAAATTAAACAGTCCATAATTAAGAAGCAATTGTGTCGAGTAACATTATAAAATTGAACAAAGTTGAGCAAGTTTTATTTTAAATAAAGATCAGAAATAACAATTCGAAATAGTAAATCATTTCTACCAATTATTTTTACTTTAAAAATGACGAAGAAAGATTAAGTTTATCTTGTGTCTAAATCAAATGAATCTTAAATTCGTTCAAATTTGCGCGTGTGAGATACTATATCTGAAATCACAGTGTTCACGCAATTTAAAATAAAATATATTATTTCATTTGATAGCTAAATAATGAAATAGTTTAGAGAAAAATAATTTCCTAGTTCGAATAAATTAATCCATGATATTAAGATAATTATGAGTCAAATAAGATAATATCTTATATGAACCATTATTTTCCAACCATTTCATTTAAATAACACTTATGCCCACAACTGAATCCTTAGAAATACTAATGTGTAGCTGTCATACTGCAATCAATTTCAACAAACGTTAATAACAAAATATTGACTACTGCTGCTAATGTATGATATATTTGAATACAGGCGCTGAAAACGAACGTCAAATTGAATACAAAGAAACTGTATCAGGCGGATGGCTATGCCGTGAAAGAATTATTAAAGGTAACATCGTTGTTATACGACGCTCAGAATAATAGTAACAATAACGACGTAACTTCGGAGGACGATTTTAACGTAACCAATTTTGATATCTCCGATAAAATTAATGAATTAAAATCGACTAGAGAATTGGCTAGGCAGTTGACCGCCACTGGCGCGTCGTTATTCGACTTGTTAGGGCGCGAAGTTGATCTACGAGAAGTTCGTAACACCAAAGTTGCCAGACAGTTTGACACGACGGAAATCGAAATGGCATTGAAAAACGTCATCGACAGTATGCGCAAGGAAGTGGACGATACCAAAAAGCAAATCGATAATGTCAAGGTATTTACAATATGTTCCTAAACTTTTTTATTTTGAAACGTGTACACCCGTCCCGCCATTTACGCGTAGTATCCATGTGGATTTGTTTTGCACGAATGAAAATAGCATAAATAGAATTTATTAGTACAAAAGAAAAGAAAATATTGGAAGGAGAAGCTGATGTAAGTTTTACAAAAATAAATATATTTAACATAGCTAAATACGTTGACTGCCTTGGTAGTCATCGACGATAGAAGCTTCCAAATCGATGGAAAGCTGTTACAACAAGGAATTGATACCAAATAATAAACATTTAGTAACGTAAGTATTGGGTGGATGCACAAATTTTGACGTCTTTTGTACGTAGGTAACAAAAGAATTTTTGTCTTTGAAACAAACAACATTTGTCTTCAGTCTATTATAACGTGTATAAAGAGCACTTCTTCCTTGGGTTTTACTTAGCTTTAGCTTAGCCAACGAACAGTTCAGCTACTAAACTAAGTCTAAAGTGGTGCGTAAATGGAGGGAAGCGTGTATTTTAATCTATACGAAAGCAATTTGTTTTCGGTTGCAAAGGACACGGAGCAAAACTTGGACGTGAGGATCGAGAGGCGGCGCATGGAACTCGACAGAAATCAAAAGAGACTGCAAACGTTGAAAAAAGTACGCCCTGCATTCATGGAGGAGTTTGATAAGTTGGAAGTCGAGCTGAGATCGTTGTACGACGATTATTTGCAAAAGTTTCGTTATCTCGCGTACCTCGAGCATTTGTACGAAGACTCTGTCAAAGCGGAACAGGAGAGATTCGAAAGGCGGTGCGTACATTTAACCCTGTCACTTATAATGTCATGTCAGCCTCGTGACGAAAATTTTCAACTGAATTTGAAAAATCTAACTGGTAATAAGCGTTACTTATTTATTTCTTTTAAATTAAATTAAATGGTATTTTTCTGTTATCAATTGTTGAGCTTTGGAGTAAATGTAGACATAGGATAAGCATCGAAATTTTTTCTTTTCCTAATACATTATTAAAGATAAACTAACCGTATCGATCATAGTTAAGAAATGAATCATAAGACAAGGGATTAGAATAAAATCGAAAGATTCTTTTGCAAGTAATTGTAAATGGAATAATTTCATTTAAATGGGCAACAGGCAAGAAGCAACTAGGAAGCAGTTGGAGAAAATGAGGGCGGAGGATGCGAATTTCGAGAGTATAATGGAAGGAAACGATTCTATATTAGCTTCGAATCTTCAAGAACCTCCACCTCCACTCGCTGATACCGAGAAACAAAGTACCGAGAAAAGAGCTCCGAGTAGCCGATTAAAGTCAGGTCAGTGGTATTTGAATATCAGTTATTTTCCTATTACACTGTGGAACAAATTTGAACTTTTTTTGTTTTTTACAATAACCACTAGGTGATTCTTATAGAGTTCCTTACCCTAAATACGAATCTGAAAACCAAATTGCTGGGTCACGTCCAGTAAAATTATTTAAAACGGAACGATCGTGAAAAGCTTCCTCATAACTGTTATGAAAATTTATGAAATAATTAAACATTATATATACATATAAGAAGTGACCGGGGTCCAGGTCTATACAGCGCGTAGTCACGACCCTGCATAGCTGTGGCCGGCGAGTGATGGCCGTGTAGCGTGAAAGTTCCGTGCACGCGCTCTTCGCGAACATTTTCTTACCCTGTTCCAAAGAAAAACCGGTCTCACGCTTCCTGCGGCGGGTTCCTCTTCAGAAATGTCTGCAGAATCCAATGGCGCATAGCAAATTCGTGCTAGCCAACCCACTTTTCGTAGAAATGTAACAGAAGTGCATACAAAGTACGCGCATCTACAATTTTTTAAACTTTGATCGTCATTTACAAACATTTAATGATACGCAACATTCAAAATTTTTATAGATACGTGTTCGGGTAAGTCTTCTTTGTTCTCTGCGATAAATTTTAACGGCCTATCGTTTTTAGTTTCACGTAACACTTGGTTTTCCGAAAAATTCGACCGTTTTTACAAAAACCTAGTTTTTTCGAAAACTGGACGTGATCCAGCAATTTTGTTTTCGGATTCGTATTTAGAGTAAGGAACTTTATAAGGACCACCTAGTGGCTGTTCGAAAACAAAGATCGTGTTCCACAGTGTTATTACTGTTGGAGAAAGGAATATCTTACGAGGGAATATAACATGGTAACGTCAGCATATCTGTACGTAACTTTAGAAAAAGTAGCCCTTACAAAAATATTTTAACAGCTATTAAAGGCAGGGGTGAAAAATATATTTAGTCGAATATTTATTGGTAATTGGGACTTTCTCTTTGTATATAGAAACTAATTATATAAGCAAGTTTTAAAAAATTCTATTTGTTTAATCGGCACAATAGATAAAAACGAACATTCAATTAATTACCTTATTTTAAATTAATGAATTTTAGTTCAACTGATTTTTTTGGTTATTTTCATCTATCAAAATTATATGTTCAAAGATAAAATAGGAATGAATTAGAATTAGTTTATTATAGTTCTACTTTTCTTGCATTCTCTGAAACACAATTTATCTGGTAAATAGAAAGTTTCCTTGATTTTTTAAGCGATCACATTACGGTATTGCCATAAATGATTACAGTTAGTTAATAAATTCTAGTGAAATTACGATTTTTCGTAACTGTAAATCGTTATCACTGTTAAAAATAGCTGGCCGGGCGTCGAGGATGCAAATCTCTCAACGCCGAATCTACGGGAGCATGTCGGGCCGTCAAAGGGGAACAATCCAAGAATCGAACGACAGTGGTGGCTCGCTGGACAGCGACAGCGACCTGTTGATCGACGGTGATCTCGACGACGACGATGACGACGACGACGACGAAGAGGACGACGACGACATATTGGACTCTGTGGGAGGAGCTGAGATCGGGAATTTTGATTTGAAGGTTGGACAAGAAAAACGAGCCGTTAGTAAGCTAGATCATTCGGATGAGGATTTTTAACCCTTATAAAAAGACAGTTACAAAAACTACAAAATATACCGTTCGTGTAATTATCGATCAGTGTCACGCAGATTTTTTACAATACAACTGTAAATAGATATTTGATAAAAAGTAATGCGTTCGATTACTCCTCCAGACTCATTGTAAACTGTAACGTCAGTAAAAAACACTTAAGACGCACGTATATATAGCTTTGTCAAATAATTCAGAACCCAATCGTTTTGTGTAACATCACGCGTACAGTGTTCCACGGATCGGCGCACGCTTTTCGCATCGCATTTAACGCTACCAGATTTACCCTCGACATTTTTCCCTTGTATCAAGTTCGATCTAAATTTGTACAACAATAAAAAGCACCATCGCGGTATCCTTCATCGTGCCTCTTCCCTAAATCCTCGATACACATGTTTACCGTAAAAAGACCACAACTCAATCTTAGCGAGCACCAATCAATGGAACGCTACATTCCAGACACGCGTTACGAAATATATTTTCAAGGGAATCAAAATACATATTGTCGACGTATAATATTTATTAACTCTCTGTTTCAACGCGAGCAAACACCACGCGTTGATTCTGGCTCAGCACCGATCACATGTATGTAATTCGCCTATCCTACGTGCTGCGTACGTAGATGCACGTACACGCCTGTGTATACACATATATACATAAACGTATGTGCGTGTAAAAAATGTAACCCTTACGAAACGAATAGAAACGGGTTGTCGTTTTAATTGCCGCGCGACGCGACGCCTGCTCGCGTGACCGGCGCAGCTAAAAATCCGTTCTATCCCGGCGCGGCGGTCGCGTGAACGATCAACAACACGGCGAGCCTCTTTCGCCTGACGTGACCACGCTTTTCGTGTAACGATGCTCGTCCATAAAAGTACTTTCACCGAGCGATGAATGAGAAAATATTCGCGAAACTGGTCGACAACGAGCGAAATCGTTACAACGTCAAGTCCACGCCGATTCCGGAAACAAAGATGAACTAAAATCAATTTCCTAAACGAACAACTGAAACGTTTCGTTTCGACGAAGCTGATGAGTGTACGCTTGAAAAAAATCCATTCGAAAGACCCACACATTCGGACATGTTCAAAACGGTCGAAGTCTCACCAAAATACACACGTCGCGAGTACGGCGAGTCCAAGCCATCTAAGATGGCTGTCCTGCAGCGTCACCAATCAACCGGGCACGAACAGCTAGGGTGTAAACGGCGGTCCATCATTTCCGTTACATTTCTCTTTTGTTGCTTCTTTTAAACATTACGCATTCGCTACGCGCTCGCTATAGATTAAATACACTGGATGTTCTAGATACATATTATACATACATAAACTACGGCTAGGTATTGATCCTATGGATATGCGTATGTTTTCTTTATACGTTGTGCGGACTTATAGGTGTGTTCGAAAAAGAACGTATCAACAAGACAACAGTATTTAAATATCGAATCTCACGTTATAGCCGGCGGTGTAGACCGAGGTGTAGGCCCTGCGTAACAAACATCCACGAACCGATGCAGTCGGTTCCCGCGTAGATCGGACGTAGTATGGAACAGAAACGAACGTCTAGGTAAATGTATAGGTATAAAATCGTGAAAGAAGCACCATAGCGTAAGAGATGCGCGATCGGCCCAGGACGCGGAGTACACGTGTTCCCGTGTTGTTCCGGCCGATCGCGCGTCTTTCTCACGTAGAAAAATATTATGTATTCGTCAACTTTGTCGATGAGCGTCGCGCCTCCGTCACTGTCGGACAGGCACCGTTCTCCGGTTTCCGTTCGCCGGAGACGAGATTTGTGGCCCGAGAAAGGGTAGAAAAACACGAGTCAAGGGCCACCGTAGTTGTAGAAATAAGTCCTGGCTACCTTCGGTGTGCCGGTGAAGTTACCGATCTCCCACAGTTCGTCCACGATGGTCTTCTGCTACCTGACCAGTTTCAACAAGGGACCCGTCTTCGTTCGCTGGGTGATTGGCGGTACCGGTTCCAATTTAGGCAGCAGACACTCGCTGCTCAGGTCCGTCCAAGTCTTGCCAACGTTCTCCGCCAATCTATCTTTGTATTTGTAGGCCGTTCGATCGACTACCGATTGGGTCTTGATACAGTCGTCGCCGCCGAACTCGCAGACCCGGTAATGATGGAGGATCGCGGCGTCCGAGGGCACGTTTAGGGTACCGTGTCCTGGAATGAACTCCCAGACAAAGTGGTTGCCGGCCTCCACGACGTTCTGGGGCTTGCAAATGTATTTGGAGCGTTGCTTGTGCGGGTGCAGCTTTGCTCTGCGTCTTGTCTTCCTTAGTGTGATGAGGCCGGCTTCGATCGGTGTCCGACTCGTCACTATGAACGGGTCGTCCGCCCATTGGAGGTAAAAGAAAGCGTTTTGGAATGAATACGCTCCGGTCGACTTGGTATTTATGCGGCTGCTCATCCATCTGTGGAGCATCGAGTAACACATTTCAGCTAATGTTCATTTGGGAAATAAGATGGAAATATCGGGTGACTGGCTGAGTGGAAAATGGGTGACATTTTTAGAGGATTGGATGTACACAACGTTTGTTTCTATGAATATGGTGGAACATTTTATAGCCAACCGTACATCCGAAAAGGGTGGTGTAATTTAATTGACTTTGTGTTATTAGTACGATGGGAGTGTCCGTCATTCGCAATCCTCCATGAAACAAAACGATTTAACATAAAGCGGTTTCTAATTATTATATTGCAAATGGAAGAAAATGGTGTTTCGTTAAATAACTGACAAATAATTTATGTGAGCACACTTTCTATCATACCATCAGTTTCTTGTAGGATGTTACGATGTGAATAGATATTATTCTTGTTTCACGAAAATATAGAATCCGAGAAATTTATTTATACGTAAAAGTAAACCAGCAAATACAAAGAAGGAACAAAGAAAAGAATCGTCCTCAAACTGCGAAACAGTAGAATGCACCACTCGCGACCACTTCACAGATTTCTTTAAGTTTCAATGTACTCATTTCTAAAATCGTGTGTAATATAAATAAACCTCTAAGTCCTAATAAATCATCACATTTATAGCTTTACGAATTGATTTTCCAATTAGATGACAATTCCAAAAACTGTTTCTATCCATAAAATCCATCTATGTTGTCATCGGAAAACCCCTCACCTTATGAGATCAATGATCGTGTCGTTGTGCCTCGGTATAATGAACTCGTCGAGGTCCACCAACGCCACGTACTCGTATTTGTACATCGATCGGTAAAGGCAATCGTTGAGGGCGGCAAACAGCCCTTCCGTGCGGATCTCGTGCTGTGAAATCATGTCCAAATGGTGCCAAGGTAGCACGGTCACGAGACCTTTCGCTTCGTAGTACTTGAGAGCGCATCCGGCTTCTGCGCCGACCGTGTCGTTGTAAAGGGTCACGTGCGTGGCGCCAAGCAGCCCGTGCAACTCGATGAATTCCACAAGTTGCAGCACCTGCAACATCATCGCCCACAAGGAACAAAAAGAAAGACGAGAACGACCATGACAATTCAAGCAAGTTTCGACGTTCGTCGTTGAGAGGCCTTGACAATCCCACATACCCTGTTGTAGTCGTAGTGCAAAGGTTTCACGCAAACGGCCAACAATTCCTTGTCGTCCGTCCTGCTTTCCGGTCGATTTTGCACAAGGATACGGTTGGTTGGGGCTGCTTTCAACCTCGCCACAACGCTCACCGTTTCCGGTACTCTATCGGTCGCCGGCGACTCCTTCGGTAACGGGCAAATCACGAAACAGGCGCTGTACTTCAAGTTCCAATTCTCTCTGATCACCTGTGCGAACGAGATAACCATGATTACAAATTTGTGCAACGGAAGCGGGAATTACATTTTAATTTACTTCGGCTGTCCTATGTTCGTCTGTTAATATAATTATCTCCGGAACTATTCGTTATTTCAAGAATGTCTCAAATGCGATTTTTTTCTGTTTTCAGAGTTTCAGAGTTCAGCAATAATTTGGAATACTTTGTGTCCACGTGGATGCGCGTGGAAGATAAGTCACTAGAATTTTTTCAAGTGTAATCATATAATTTTTCTTACAATATTTTCCAAAGGTTATCTTCGAAAAATTGCATTTGACACATTTCTTAAATAACAAGTGGTTCTGGAAATAATAATGAGCACCCTGTATCTACCAAATGGGAACCACATCCTCATTCGTCAATTTTTTCATATGTTCAAGAGTATTCTCCTAAGTAGTGCGAAGGTTTTAGCTAGGGATTTATTACCTGAAACGTCAAAAACTATCAAAATTCATCTTTCAAGGAATGATACACAAACATTCTTCAATACTTGTATAAGAAAGTTTGACTATTATTTTGACTATAAGAAAGACATGTTTCAACTGTCCCATTAAATTTATCCATTTATTTAAAAACAAAGTTCTAGTAAATACACTCTATTACGAAAATAGTTTCCACAAAATACTGTACCATCGAACAAACACTCCTTAGCAATAACCTCCTAATCAAGCACAACCTTTAATTAAAACCTTCACAAAGTTCTTCGCAACAATGCTCTCGAGATACCAAAAAATCAGCGAAACCGATGGTTCTCGCGGGTGTTCGCCGCGAAATAAATATTTGGCGCGCGCGGCTACCATGGAGAAAAGGCTTGCCCTTAATTTGCTCGGCGCACGAGACTGAACTTGTTCGAAGCGTCGGGGGAAAAAAGGAAACAAGGAAAAAAAATAAATCCAGCAAAAGGTCAACTTATATCGTGGCCGAGGTTCGTTACGGCGGAACTTGTTACCGTCGGTTTTCTTTTTTTCCTTTCATTCCCCGTTCTTTCTTTTTTCTCGCGGGGCTGAAGTTCGTAACCTCGTTCGCTCGGTTGACGCACCTTCACTTTAGCAGCCACCGTCACGGAAGCGGTCACGTTCCCCCCGTTCTCCGTCCGATACCAAAATCTACACCAAACGGGCTCCGGTCCTCTGGTCTTGGTGGCGCTTATTATGCGTACCATGCCCTGCTTTTTGCCTGCCGGCGTGCCCGCGCCGCCCACCCTGTCGTCGAAGTACGCCGAGTACACGAAGAATTTGAATCTGCGGGGGAATCAGAGAAGAACGCGTTCCAGTTAAAATTCGACCAGATCGATGGGATTGAATGGACGATATCGGTCAAGGTCGGGCCGTAATCGGCCCGGGAACATTTCGCGGCGTTGTTTATCGACGATAGGGCACACCTGGTTTTCGTGACCGGCAACCATTCGGCGTCCGTGATCCTCAAGCTCTGATCAGGTTGCGGCAAACGGGCTTCCAAGTTCTGCGGCAAGCTCGGCAAACCTCTCGGGTCCAGTTGTATCGCGGTCTTCTGCCCTCCGTCCTCCCCGTGCACCAATAATCCGATATGATCGTCGAAGCTGCCCTTCAACCCAATATAATCTTCAGCCTGTGGGAGCGAAACAGAACTGTTCGATAATCCCTGTCCCCGGCAGACCGTGATTCTGATTGACGCCAAGTTTCCGCCACACTTCAACCGCGTTTCGGACTCGACCCTCTTTGCTAATCAATTATTTTGTCATATACATTGCGGTTATGGGACTCTGGTGTCGTAGTAGGTATTGCGTGCTTTTTCAATTCGTTCTGGAACTGAGAGTCGCGTCTAAGTCATGTCCTAAACCTTCGTATTTTCCTGTATCATTACGCTACATCCCTGTTAGGGATGGCGAACATTTAATGTATCCATTCGGTGAAAATATCCTGGATGGCAAAAACATGGATTGCAGCGATGGGAGCCTGAGATAACGAACTACAGGATACAAAATGGTGGGCCTCGATGAAAGTTTGATCCCGACAAAATGTCGACATTCGTCCTCAATGGGTTAAATTTTGGAAAGGAATTCATAAGGCAAATGGTTGATAGCTACATTCGATATAAGAAACGTTTTCTAATTATTCGCAACGTCGCACACTCGGGTATTCGTCCGACCAGATCGGTCAAAAGTCCATTTTAACCCTTTGCGGACGAATATCGTCATTCCTGCGAGATCAGATGTTCATATTTGGAAGATTAAGTCGCGAATAAATGATTTGATTAGTAAAACAGCAAGAGAGTAACACGTAGTTTCCTGTTTTCTTATTAATTAAGTAATTGATATATAATTTAATTTCATCTGTTGAAGACTTTGTACATTTCAAAGTATCTTCGTTCGCAAAGGGTTCAAAATTTTATTTAAATCGAAAAATTATTGTTGTTTGAGATAACTGAATATGCGAGAAACAATATTCTAGAAATTTTGTTCTTCTTGGAGCACTCGAAAAATGCTGAGCTACCCCGAAAGTTAGGCATTTTTTGACCACACGTTTTACTCTTAAAATTTCTCGCAACAATTTCTATATGTTTTGGAAAATTTGTGAAAATTAAACACTACCTTTAATAATTCGTTAGCTCTTTAAAAATAAAATCCTCCGCGTATGTCCGCCTTTTCGTTCTAGAGCGATTTGTCTACCGCGTCGGCATAAATTTGTTTCTTATAAATTTATACGACTTACAACTTCAGTAATTTTTCAACAGAAATATTGTAATTCTTTAATGTTATTCACTCGTGTAGAAAATTTACTGAAAATCTGTAAATTAAATAATTATGTATTATTTATAACGTATTATTATATACTATATACTATATTGTTATATATTACATCATGTATAATGTAATATATGATATATAAATATATATATTTTTAATATATATTTTTTTATATATTTATATGAAATTATATATAATTTATATTAATAAATTTATTGTTATATTCCATATAGTTGCATATTATTGTACATTATTATATTACATTCTCGATATTATTTTACAAGTGGATATAAACCTGTCTTTAATTTTGGTCGCTCAGACTGAGCAAATACCCAACTATGCGTCGGCTATTATTCTCCAGCAAGCGAGTTCACGGGGAACGTACGACGAATCATGAACCGCAGTAAAAGAGCTCGAGGACGTATTCGATAAGGCTCGGTAAGTTAAAGGCGAAACAGCGTGTATCGTTCCGTTTATTACCAGCCGCAATAAAACCTCCGCGCGCGATTTATTTGCGGGCTGGTAATTAAAAAGGCGGACGTAAATGAAAAACGGTCGAAAAAGCGGATACTGTTGTACAATTTATTCAGAATGCGCGCGCGTTCTGTCCGCGACAGTCCGCCTCAAAAAAATGTCCATCAATTAGCGATATGTGTTTTTGTTCCGACGTCGGATGTTTCCCAGGACTCGCATTGTCCCGTTTTCCGAGGCTTTGAAGCCACGGACTTGCGAGATTACGCGGAAAATCCGCTCGGCTGCGCTCTTTCCCCGATAAAAACGAAATCGACGAGCGTAATAAGTCGCCAGAACGACGGCCCGATATTTGAATGTCGCGTCACGGTTATTTAACCCTTTACGGATGAACATCGACACTTTGTCGAGACGAAACTTTCATGTTTAGAATACTAATAACAAAGAAAGGTATCGAACACGGAAATTCAAGAGATTGTGTAACTTTGTGTATAAGTAGAGTAAGTCAAGCTCAATTGCAATTTTTTTCGTGTCGAATTTCAGTTTGAAGAGGTGAAAGCAGCCCTTGAAGAAATGCTTTTCCCTTTCCGTGGATTATCTTGAAAACGGCAAGAGATAGTGAACAAAGGCTTAAACGAAAAATACGTTAATTCTTTCAGAATTCAAATTTAGAATTTTGAAGAATTTGAACTTTTTGAAAAATTCTATTTTGCAATATTATAGACGTGAAAGAACAATGTATTTTCCGTTTAAACCTTTTCTCCGCTACCCCTTACCATTTTCAAGATAATCTACGAGAAGGAAAAAGCATTTTTTCAAAGGATGGTTTTATCCCTTCAAAGTGAAATTTATTTATAAGGAATATTAACACATTATAAAAATCGTACAATAATTCCTTTTCCATTTCTGCGCATGAAAAAAGAAATGTTCAAATTATCCATTCTCTTTAAACTTTCGCGGTTGCATATCTCCTTTATTCGATCTTGACGGAAGTGATAGCAACGAGAAGTTGAAACATTATCGGCCGGAGTTTTGTCCGTTGCGAATTTTCGCTAGTTCCCGTTGCTCGTGCCCAGGCCACAGAAATATACGAAGAATTTGCATTCCCAACGTTTTTTTTTTCCCCCCGCCCCTCGGTTTCGTTATTAGCGCGATGGAGGTCCTCTCCTTATTTAACTGGTATCCTAATTAAGGACCCCGGGAATAGTTTTAAAACTCTTTGAAGTTATAGTCCACATTTACTAGTACATTTTCATTAAGGGAAATAATTTGAAGTGAAAACGTGCGCGTAAGACCCAGAAATTTTAATTAAACGCTTCTTGGAAATATTTCATTTTACCCGAGAATGCGTGTCTAATTTCTCGAAGGACCGACCGTTTAAACCTTCGAACGTTTGTTATACAGAGTGCGGAGGAATGATATGTTAAGTGTGGAATCTCATTTCTTTCGACGAAAAATATGAATGCTTTAGCGTGTATTTTTAGAAGAAGGTATGAATGTTTTTTAGTTGAAACTTTGTATATGTTCTTGCTACACTTTCGTTAAGCTTCATGAATTTTTGCAGTTGGATTTATTCAAAAATACAATTTCTATAATCCACAAATCAAAATGTTATTCGATGGTTCGCGTGATTATAAAAGTATTGGATCTATCAATTTTACATTTTAACTGTTTAAAGAGTTCCTTCGTCGTTTGATTTACAAGGTAATAGCGTGTATCCAGTTTTCTTAATTAACGAAAACTTGGAAAATGTTTTTAGTGAAACCGAATATTTGATTCTGAAGAGCTACTAATTTTGCAGCAAATAAGCGTCGAACATACCAATTTTATTCTAAATTTTTGTCTTATTTTGTCGTAAGGAATCATTCCATGTCCCTTGACATATTTGGACACACCCTGTATGGATTATTATCGAATAACACGTGCAGAGTATTGAGATAAATTTACATTTACCTAACTAGAAGCGAGGTGATACTAAACAGTTATATCGTTTACAATTTTGGGCGAACAAATTAATGTGAACAGTACAACTCCGTTTATTTAAACGATATTTTCATAAATATGAGATTAAGCGATTAGTCGGTTACAGTTCACTTACTGTTCCATTAAGCAGGTAAGTAGTAATTACAAGCTTCTGTTATCTGAACGGTGCTGAGAGTTATTCCGATTACATGCATGAGCATATGCTACGAACGAAAATCAGTACCACTAGAGTACAGTTGGAAAAATACAATTATCTTTGTGCCGTTAATTTTGAAAGTATACTAAGTTGTATATTTTTAATGTTTGTGTTTGAATAAGTTAAAAAATATGTTTATACTAAGTAACAAAATGTTTCAGAAATTATTTAGCCTTGAAAAATGAGAATTTATTATGACTGCGTAATGTTCTGTGTAACTTATAAGGAAATATGATTTTTGATGCTTAAAATGACTTGTAATTAGATCATTTTCAAAATTAAAATCATGTATAGTATATATAATATTTGACAAATGTGAAGATTCATTAACAAAGTTTTAAAATGGAAATAAATAACAATAATATATATAATAATAAATATTTATTTTTGTTGTCTCTGTTATTTAAATAAATAAAACATTATTTTTTAAAACTTTACTGAATTACTGTTTTCATAAACGATTCCCAAAGTCATGATTAGTAAATTGTTCTTCTTACAAGTCGTTTAAAAATTCATGAAATTCGAAATTTTATTTTAATCAGAAGAACGAGCTACACGTATCACTGAATTCACTTATTTAAACATTAACTCTGGTTATTTGAGAAGTTCCGTGTAGTGGAGAAAATCAATGGACTCCTATTATATAAACGACCAATAAAATTATATGAACAGTTTGTTCTCCGATAGATTCATACAAATAAAGTTTTACTGTATAGACTGATGAACGTAAAACAGTGTGTGGAAAGTTTATTTTAATCAGCGATGGTAATTTAATATCTGCCAAATACACCGCTGTTTCGTAAACAAATCTATTTTCGATAATGTGTTCAAATTGTTCGGTGCACCCGACAACTGTTAACAGTGTGAGAAAATCGTTATAAACACAATATACCTTTATGCATTTAATTAATCAATATTAAATTTTATAAAAGTTATTTTAATAATTAATTTAAAGTGATTGTTACAGCTTTGTACAATAAAATGAATTATTACTTATCAAACTTAAAATTCAATAATTAAATTTAAATTTAACAACTCAACTTCTGACATTTCACGGGTCATAATAAAAATAACAACCCTACAAATTGCATATTGATGAGATTAAAATTTTTACCTCGACTGCTAAGAATACGACAATTGGAATTAGAAAATGTTTTGTGAACGTCCTTAACGACTACTTAAAGGAATTGATTTAAATCGTGGAGGAAATTTTTTTAATTCGGAATCCTGTTTTGAAACAAATTTAAATAACTGGATCGAATACGAGTGATGCGATTGACGTATGAACAACAACACAAAAAAGTATGTAAAAAGTGTACGGTAAAATTTTTCTGTTCGATGCCTTGTTTTCGAGAAAATTCAATTAAAAAACTTATGGAACACGTCTGTGTTTGGCTAACTACTGACAGAACACAATTCTGTTCGACGTTTTTCGAACACGGGGCTTCAAATGAAAAAATGTTATTCTTCTTTTTCGCTTATTTTTGTACGTAGAATAATTTCCTGTTGACTTCGCCGTTTGCACTTAATTATGAGAATATTATTAATGAAGTTTACGCGTATAATATCCTCTGTTGCGTAAATTGCAGCAAAATTAATGAAATTAATGAAATTTATTATTGTAGGTATATTTTTATGAGTGAGATAAAACTCTTAATTCTTTAATCCATGATATCGCGTCATACTCGTGACGAAAATTTTAAACAGAATTTAACGAATCTAAATATTTTTACCTGTTTTGAATACAAATTAAATATTACTTTTCTATTGCCAATCGTTAATCTTCAGAGTAAACTTAGATATAGAATAAGTGTAATATATCAATTTTTTTTCTTTTTATAATAAACAATTAACGGTAAAGTAGCTTCATCAAGCATAGTTCTGAACGAAACCATAAGACAATGGGTTAATAATCGAAATAAAATCTCACCTACGTTTTTTCTAGTAAACTCATGTTTAAAATAGTAAGTTGGTATAAATCATTGCAGTCCATTCGCGAGTTAACCAAATGTTAGTGAAAGCCAAATTTATAGAAAATGAGGTCTTAAATAAAACAAGTGTATTCTATGTTTTCCATTTGTCTTTTCACGTGAAATCAAAGTCTTCTGTAGGATCACCAGTGATCTAGTATTTATAATTCGTGCTCTTACAGTGTGAGATGTAAGCTGGCTTCATGGAAAAACAAACGAAAGTAGTGCAGGTTTTAAAATAAAGCATGGGTATAATCGAAGTCTACTATACCACACTAACGTGGTGTAATAATTTTCCGTAGATATGTCTCAAAAGTCCTAACATAAGACATCTTGCTTATTTACACGTGTAATGTCTATCACGTACAATTCTCGTTAATTTTCAGCAAGTTTGCGTTACACGCGAACAGAATGATGTGTGTCAGGCCAGGAAAAGCCATTTCCTGCTGAGCAACACTTCCTTTTCATAACGGAAGTCATCTTGAGACCAATTTATTTTCTGATCTCGGTTTTTCAAACATTTTTAGGACGGAAGAGGGGCGAATAAGAGATTTTAAAACGCCATTTCAACTGAAAGATTACATTTTCAAATATTACATATTAATTCCAGTTTATTCAGAGAACCAAATCAATGCAAAAGCAAAATGCAGAATCGACAGATAACAGAGTAATTTCCGGTGAAATGGCCCAATTTTATTTAGACTGTTAAATATTTCAATTGTTCTTGACACGTTCAGTGCTACGGAAATTTCGGTCATATTTAGCTTATGAACTGTATTGATTTTTTAAATAAACATTAAATTATAGTCAAGCTTTTGTTGATTTTTATATATTTTGATGTTTTCGGTGTTTTTTAACGTATACTGCTATTCTTAATCTTAATCCCTTAAAAATATTTTCTTATAAAAATTAGCGTGTACCATATGTGATACATGTGGCACTGAACATGTTAACGGTACATTGAATCTGGCACAGATGCTTACATAAATATTCTTATGTAATTACTTTCATAAATATATCTTGTTTCGTTACATATTAACAATATTCATATAACAGTCCTGTCAAAAACAGTGGACCATCCCCAACTTACCCTAGAGAACCAATACAATATCGGTTCCAAAGAACGGAAACCAATACAGCTCAAAATCGATATACCTAATACCAGTTACCACTTTATTTCGCTTTTCCATAACAGTTTCAATCCGAACCGACGTATAACAGTTTCAAACAGATATTTTCAAAACCTTTTCAATCCCTGATCGCCGTGGACGATAAAACTCAACACAAACATCGCTTTTAAGGGGTCAACAGTCCAACAAACTACGGCTACAACAGTGAACTGCCATTAGCTAGACTACCCAAACCTACTAACAGCAGTTCAACAAACAGCAAAACAATTCCTTGGAACGATCGAACTAAGCTATCCAGCGAATACAACCTAAGAAGAGAAAACAATCGAACCGATCCGTTTCTTTGGCAGTAATCTTGAGTATCGGAACAACGCGGAATGCTGAAAGTATACCGTACTTTTGCCGCCTATCATTGTCCAGCAGTAAAGAGGATACCGGTAGCCGGCTAGCGAGCAGTAAGAATAGGCGACCGGCGGAAAACGGCGAATAGTGGGCGGGGATCGATGAGCCGGGATGGCAAAGTTTCCCGTTACCACTTTTCTCGCGCCTTTACGCGGACAAAGAGCAAGCGACTCGTCGCGACGAGTAGAAAGTTGAAGCCTAGCCAGTTACTTCCAAAGTCTTTCTATCGTTGCCCGGGATGGGGAACGTTTGAGGATGCCTGAAGACTCGCAGCTAGCAAACGATTAATTCGTCGAACGTGAGCTCTATCTCCTTGCTTCTTATCGAGGGCTGAAGTAACTGAAGGAATGGGACTGGTAGAAAATAGAAAGAGACAGAAGAAGAAGAAGAAGAGGAAGAAGAGGAAGAAGAAGAAGAAGAAGAAAAAGAGAAAGAAAGTTGCAAGATGGTCAGAGGTATGATCACTTTAATTTCCCGGAGGGTACCGGACCTCTCCTCGGCCCGATTTAGGCACGATTTTAGGTCATAATCTGTTATCTTTTATTCGCGATGACTAGCAACTTTACGGCGGAGATTAAAATAGTTTCCGCCTCGCTTGGGAAAGAGATCGGTCCCCTAGCTCTCTGACCTCTGGTTTTGCAAGCTCTTATTCTGTCCTTTTACTTTGTCCCTTGGCCGCGATTCGTTTTGGTTATACCGGTGTATTATGGAGGATAATTGAGGTTTCCTGTATTGGAGCTTTGTTGTACTATGTCGAGACGGATATGATTTTAGAGATCTCAATTTCATTCTAATAAGTATCTACAATATTTTATCTTTTACTGTTGTAGGTATTATTGTTAGTATATACGTGCATGTTATGATATGTAATAGATATGCTGTAATTCCACTATATGTAAAATGTTACTGAAATATGGCCAAACTGTGGTATCGTAGTTTATTATTCCTAGGGGTGAAGTTACACGAACTTGGGCTAGAGAATGTGTCATGATGAACCTGGAGTTTTGAAAGCAAAATGAAAACGTACCAAATAGTTTGATGTTATTTGTTTCAAAGAGTCGCGTAGTACCGTGTATGGTACATGGTATCATTTTTGCAAGAAAAGATACGTAAAGAAACGATATCAAAATATATAAAAATTACCAAAAACTAAAACATAACTTAATATATATTATTTAACCGTTTGAATGCCAAGCGGCGTGATCGCGTTTTTCCGTTACACTGCCTAAAAGTACCAGCCTATCGATTCGTAGAATCAAATTAAATTTATTTATTTACTTTCTTTCTAATTATTTATTTTCACTTCTGTCATTACCAGTTTGGAAATGAAGAAACGAAATGTTCGCACTATTTAGAATTTTTTGTGTAAACATAGAAAAGCGTAATTCAGTTTATAAATTGAAACGAAAGGAGCACAATTGCGTTGCTTGCCACTTCTCGATCGGGTTTCAGCAAAAATCCGTGGCACTCAAACGGTTAAAACATCGATATACTTTATAAGCAAAATATAACTAAAATTTATGGTGTCATGGAACGTGTTAACCACGCGAATACAAGAAACGTCAAATCAATATCTGAACACTACATACATATGTGCAACTGGATGAGGCATCTGTCGCTAAAAAACAATCCGTCGGGATATTAGAATATTTAGATAATGGGCGTACGAGTAGAGTGTTCTAGTTTCGTTGCGTTTCACATTCGCAGTTTATCGGATACCTCGAAGCTACCGATTTTTCCAATAGTCCACGGATTACGGATTAGTCCGTGCTATCCCGAATCGTCAATTGTCACGTGCGTTCGCTGATTTTGTTCAATATCGCGTTACCACGGCAACGCTGATAAACGTATTAACTTCGCAGATCGAGTAGCGCGATGGGGAGCTGTGGTTAATAGCGATGACGGGTTCACAGCGAAAGGGGATGCGCTGCGCGTCGTTTCACGGAATTGCTGGTGTAACTGTGTCGAACAAGAGAAATAAAAAAAGGAGTGGAATCATTGTATCTGACAGGACATCGGGACGAGTACAATCGAATCCAGCACGTGAACTGATCATGTGAACTGATAAACGAAAGACAATGGTACGATATATTCCGTATGGTAGGCTATTCTGTAGTCAATTCTCGTTTAAAGTAGTAGAATCGAGCAATGGTCAGACACTGCAGTTAATGGTACTAGGGAAATTCTTTTGACCTATTCACTGCCAGAGACATTTTTCTAATTTTACATTGAAACATTGTTGAACATCGCTATTCGCTAAAAAGGGGCCCGAAAAATAATATAAACAATATTTCTTGGAAAATCTGAATTTTCTTCGTGTCGTGGCATTTGTAACAAGGATTATGTGATATTTGTGTAATATAATTAGTATTTTTTATATGATACATTTTTGACGTGGACAGTCAAGAGGTTAAGTCTTTCATTGTTAAATAAATTATGTTTCTTTTCTAAATTACTGATAATTTATACAACGTAAATAATAAGTACAATTGTCAATTTCACTGGAGATCTGGGTTAATAGGATAAAAAATATCTTTTTTATTTCTGAAAAGCTGCTAGCGCATTGGTATCGTGCGGTTATCGATAGCTGATGACGCTATCATTATCTGCGTATAGTATTAAACAACCGTAATAAGATACACGTGCTCGTTGCAAAATGACACGAATTGATTACCCCATATCGTAACAAAACTAGTTAAGGAACGCATTGTAATTTTTGTACTTGGTTACGGATTAATGAACGCGATTCGTTTACGTTAACAAACCATTCAGCTCCGTGTTTTGGCATCCATTATGAATGTGAAAGCTACTGTTCGCTCGAGATAAAAACAGGAAAAGCGAAGAAACGAAAATAAAATAAACAGATTCGAAATCTGCTGGGAAACTCATGTTGGACGTAATTTTAATTGTTTCGTAATTTTAAAGCGTAAGATTATTTAAAAAAAAAGACATTGAAACAATGAAAAATGCATACACAAATATTATAATGCGAACTTTTCATTTTATTATTAATGCACGAAAAAAGTTTGACAAAAATGATGATCTAATTAATTCTCAGAAAAAGGAACTATTTCTATAATGAAACTGCATATACTTAAACGCTCAAATATCGTCAAGAAACTGAGTGAATCTATCAGAAAATGTTCCAATTAATGGAAACTTCAATAAACTTGAATATCAGAAAACAAAAAAATGGACTTGCATCATTTTTAAAAAATAAGAATATTTGCTTATGCCCGATTTGAACGTTTAATCTAGATTAGAATTATTTTACCAAGTTATTCTATCTATTTATCGGAATCAATATATCTTTATTTATGCCATTAATCTATTTGAAAAATATGCGTATAATTTTAACAAGCAGTCACTATCGACAATTAATTGATAGAATATTAGATTACCGCTATAATGAGCATTCGAATCCAACCGACATGGAAACCTATATACAATAATACGTAAAAGAATGAGAATACTGCAATAAAACTTCGCGAAGCGTAAAAACCAGTAAAAGTAGTTCGATTAATAAATGATTCCGAATGAAATTGTAACCATTGTTTGTCTTCTTTATCCGTTATCAGAATAAAATTTTGCACAACGCTGGTTCGTAAAGAACAATCCAGTTATTCAACAGGGACGATATATTATTGCGTGTAAATTCACTCCTTTGAAATCGTAATTCTTTCGGTATAATATATTTCTCGCATCGGATAAAATTTAAACGCAATGACCATTGTAACATACATATTAAGCGGTCATCATTCTGGTAGAAATGATGTTCTGTATATAACAGCAGAATGAATAAATAAAAAATGCAAAGTAGAATGTGTTTGTGGTGGACTTTTTGTTAAACAGATCGCCGAAAGTTCGCATATTTCGCTATTATGACAATTTTCATTAGTCGAGTGGGTGTTTAGAAGAAAGACCTACAGTTTTAGAGATGATTTGATGTCTTTTTAGTTTACAGTTTTATAGTTTTGATTAGTTACTTGTAACTGTACTGACGAATGATAAATTGGTAATTGAAAACACCAGGAATTAAGAAATAAAATTATTATTTTTTTTAGTGTATTTCCTTCAGCTATCAAGTGATCCCATAGCAGTATGTTACATTTCATAAATTTTAAATAACGGTGGAATTTAAATTACTATTCACTGTAGCGAGTGGACAGATGGCTGTAACATATGCTCTTCTTTCAAATTGAAACAGAGAAATAATAATTCAATAACTAAAGAGCAATTTAATACTTTTCCAAGAGATATAATTGAAACAAGGTCTTTTTTCTCTTTGCTGATAGGTAATACGTTTTTTGGCAAAATTGGCAAAGTTGGCAAAGTATTAGGTTCTGGTATGTCGACTGAAATTTGTAATATAGATCATTTTTTCATGGAGTTGTCAACGTTTTCTTTTTCTACGTACGTAATTTTTGACACCTAGAATAATAATTAAGAAAAAAATCAGAAAAGTATCTACTCTCGTGTAACAAATTGGAAAGGTTAATGTTTTAATTAAAATATTTGTAAAAAGTACTTTTAAAATGTCACGAACGAGCTCGTGGGTATCACGAAGTTGCAATCTAGACATAGTTGGACTTTTAATGTCAGAGTTCGATACGGTAAACAGTTGGCGACACATGTAAGGTCGTAATTGTTTTTACTTACAATTACAGTCAGTGTGAGTTATGTTTGAGGCCCTATAAAAGGGCAACGCTTTATTGTCTCGGAATAGCATGTTAACTCTTTGAATCGATTGTTTAGGTATAGCTACCTTGAAACTTCGTCAGAAACTATAGAACTGTTTTCCTGGAAACCATGTTTCTTACATCGTCCTGACAAGAAATGAAAAATTAATCAACTGATCGATTCCACGGAAAGGTTGTTTCATCCGTTACTCATTTCTTTATGAACCATATTCAATATTTTCATTTTACTTCATATGAGGAGCAATGTTTAACCTTTTAATCGAGCTGTTCCTGTTACAAAATTTCCAATAACTTATTGTACTCATCGATAGTCTTGTTGCACTACACATATTAGATTGTTTTAAAATATACTGCTCTGTATAAAATTATTAATAAATAAAGTTACTGTGCATATTTGTGTAAAATAATTAAACATGCAAGACTGTCAAATCTCTGAATTAATTTTCAGCGCAAAATATTAATCCGTTACACTCTGTATTTATTAGAAATATTCTTTTCTTTAACTTTGCATTATATTAACCCTTTACACTCGAGGGGCTGACTCACAGTCACCACTTAATTTGATGCAACAAAATTATGAAGTTTGATGATTAATATTGAGCTTTGTATAATGTATCAATATGTGAAATATTACAATAAAATAGCTATAGTTCTTCATTTACGCGTGATTTCTCTTTAATTTGGTTTGAAAAGGATTGATAATTGCATTCTCTTTGAAATTTACTTCAAATAATAGTTAGTTGACGCGAAGCACAATAAACAATTTTTTGTATTACTTATATTGCAACTAGAAATTTCAAGACATTCAACAAGAAGGTTACAAAAGGTTGAGTGAAGATCGTTTTAAGATTCCCTCTAATTTATTCTCGGAGGAAAGCGTAGCATATTTGACTGAATCAGTAGTCAGTTGTCGGTAGTATAAGTTCGGTACTGTCTTGGGATCCTCTTTGTGATCTATTTATAACGATCGTTAAAGTAAATAATCCTATCAACTGTGAAATTCCAACAGTAATCCGGTTCTTGTGAGTGAAAAACAATAATGCTCTTAAAATTCACACAACTTGGCTCGTACTCGAAAACTACCAGCCTTCTTTGCATTCCCAATACAGTGGAATGTCGGTCTTTTTGATTTCATGTATACCATGGTGAAAATTGTAACCACATGTGATTAATATATTTCTCAGCATTATTCAATTTGGTGAAACTAAGGAATTACAATTTAATTGCAATTTACTTAACACTAGGTTTACTCGGCGGGTCATTTTGACCCATTTCGAACTTTGTAAAGGCAATTACAGAAACCGTTTACATTTTTTTCTGCCACTTGTACTGACGTTTATCTATACATCTATACATCTGTATAATCATATAGTTGTTTAAGTTGTTTTTTAAAGAAAATGTATGATTCTGTTCATGGAGCAAATTGACCCGTGTCGGTAAAGATAGGTGTATAAGAATGTCGGTAAACCAAGTGTTAATGGTATAAATTAACATAATTCATCGACCTTCAAGATGAGCAAAAAAATATTTCGTTCACACGGAACGTTTCAGCTGGGTGTATTGAATAGAGTATTCAGGGAATATTTACAAGAAAAACTCTTTTTCATCGTAGTTCCATTTATCTAATTATCTTCTTAAAAGCTTAAATTTGCATAAAGATCCGCAATCTGCATATAACACACAAGGCATATGGAAGAAGTTCATCAGAATCACGTAAAAATCAGCGTTTGAGGTGATTGAACGGAAGGGTTTCCCCGTTAAACGTAATCAATGATCCGCGTCGAGCGACTCGGTCAATTAAACGAATACAGATGGTCCTAATTGCGTACTCACTCCGAGTTCTCCATAATCTGGCCGATCTGGCGCAGCCGGCAATCGATGCCCGCTCCTGTGACCTCCTAGAGCTCCCGTGCCACTTACGCCCACGCCACGCCTCTCGTTGATCAGGAATATCTCTGTAAGCACGATCATGCCGAACACTGCGAAGAACATCACCACCAGCATGAACGACATGTTGGCGCGTTCCTTGAGAACGCCCGCGTTCGCCCGGCTCCCGCTGGACCCGCTTCTTCGGGAACCCATCCTCGAGAGGCTCTGCAACTAAACAACCAAACAAACGGATTGAAAATACAACGGGATTGGGGTTAACACTGAATTTCCGGGTTCAACAGAAAAACAAGTCTAAACGAAAGATACGTTGTTCTTTCACGTTTAGAAAATTGCAAAATAAAATTTTTCAAACAGATCGAATTGTCCAAAATTTGGAAGTTTTAACATTTTATTGTATGACGAAACATTCGAGCGTGTGGCTGAATTATTTTGAATTATCCACTGCCGCGGTTATGGACGGCAATTAAATTCGACTGAAAAATGGATTAATCGGTTTACCGTGTCAACACGTTTGGGAAAACTGACGCGATATCTTCTGCCCACGCGTGTGGCCTCAACTGAATTGATAAAACCGTCCCGGGGACAAGGCGAAACTGAATTGCCTCGTGTTTAAGGGATTCAACGATCTTATAAATCATGCGAGTGATTGTAAATTACTAGAACAACCGCACCTGGCAGAATGGCGGGTTTCCGTCTTCTCGTTTCGGAATTATTGATATATTGAAAGCGTTGAATATCTGACATGATTTCAAAAATAAATGGTTTCACTTCGATGCTATAATCAGTATGTTAAGAAATCGAAAAAAAAATTGTTGTTACAATTTTTGTATGGATTGCAACAAATATGAAATTTTTATAAAGATTGCAACAAATATACAATTTTTATAAGGACTACATCGAAATATCGCAAGAAACTATGTTTCGTTGATAAAATAAATATTAAAATATTAATAAAATATAAATATTAAAAGGAAACCTTATTCAATATTCTACAAAACGTTTATTTAATGAATATATGCTCTATTCGATTCGATACACTTCTGCCAACACGTTTTTAATGAATACACTCTTTTTTTGAAATATTCTGAATGTTTAGAACGAATAAAGATATCGTTATAAATGTAAATACTGTTTCGGTTTCACCACGCGGCTCATTTTGCGAAAAAACATTAACGAAACGAAATTCTGTGAATCAACGCTGTTCTTTCATTCGCAGTATCATTCTCAAATATTCTGTTCATACTTTCAGCGGTTTTTCAAGCATTATTTCTAAGGTTGAATTCGTATAAGAAAATTATATGAATATGGCGGTATCCGTGTTTTCAAAAAACGATGCAAGGAATAGTTATACATATTTCTTTCCTTTCAATTCTCACAAATAAGTAAGTGTATTTATATTTCTATAACTGACCGTATCTGTGGCTGCAAGGCGAAACGCCTTAAGCCATGTGCTTTTCATCTGAAGATATTGCAGTTGGAAGTCCCGTTTACCGATAGCTAACAGTCAATTTCGATATTCTTACGTTCTATTCTTAGAAAGAAGAAATTACTTTTATATATTTTTCTTATTTGGAAATACAGATTCCAATTTGTTTCGGCTGAGATGTAAACTAGAACTCTCAGGAAATGTGACTTATCATTGTTTCGTCATGTAACCACAGATATTATATGCTGCAAGATATATTTATAATAAAAATAAAAATCTAGAAGTTCTTGATGTTTAATGTATAGTATATTTTTTCAGTTTTGTTCTTTTATAATTAGAATTTCTAACGAAACAATTGAAAAAAAATTCTTTGAGATATATCCAGTTACTCTTTACACATTTTGTTAAATTTTTAATTGAAGAGGATAAAAAATAAAGTTTTCTCAGGTTTGAAATTGAAAAAGAAAATTCTTTTCTGGCCCGTTATCATTTCACGGTGTCCAACAAAGACCTAAATTCTATTTCCACGAGAACAAAGTCTCCAACGAAATAATTTCGTTTCACAATTTCGCCTGTCTTTTATACGAAAAACTAATTATTAGAAACTACCTGTTCATAAAACTATGTACTGTACACTAGTCGTCTAAATACATTGAAGTATGAAATATTCTGCAGAAGAAGGAATAGTAAAAAGCATTTCGTGAATAAGCTATCGGCCAAATATAGATATACAGAGGCTTTCATGTGAACGAAGACAAAGTTCACTTTCGGAACTCGAAATTCGATTTTAGAAAGAACAAAGTTTCCCACCTTTTATTGTCACCCGCGTGGTATATACTTTACGTATATATTCGTCGCGGAAAACTGGATCGCGACCAAAAACTCCGGTTTACTGAGATGTCTGGTTTTGCGATAACAAGTTAATGAAAAATTATTAATGATAAAAGCGATGAATCCAATCATAAAATTACAGAGGTAAAGGATAAATAATCCGATAAAGAATTTAATTGGGTTTACTAGACGCTAATTTTAAAACAACTTTTCGGAAAAGAAATTTCAACTTTTAATGTTTTCTACTTATAAATGATGTGTCATGGAAGGATGAAAACAGTCTTTAGACTCGTGAGTTGGAAGTATATATTTTGGAATATTCCTAGAATTAGAGAACAGGAATAAAATATTTTGCTCATTTGTTTTTATACTGAATATTTAGAATAGTAACCGTGATTTCTTTTAATTTTCAATAATAGAGCGAGTTTAAATTAATACCCTGTATATGTAGAACACTGTATACTTCTATATGCTCACTCTGATACTATCTATACTAAAGAATGAGATAGGTATCTTGTATTCATACAAGACCCTCTCCTTCATACCAACATTTAGCCATCAAAAGCTGGTACACCCTGTATAGTCCGGCCCAATTGCGTGACCTACCCCGCATAGTTACGCGAGATGCTCGTTCGGCACTAACTTTCACAAATTCGCAACGTGTCACCCGGTACCAGTAGCATTTCAAAGTAATTTCCTGATTAGTGAGACGTTTGTGCCACTGTTATTGATCATGTTTTGCCCGACCTAGGCGGCCGAAAGTACATTTTAAAGATTTTACCTAAACTATAAAATTGTTGCTGTTTCAGATAGCTGAACACGTGAGGAATAACGTCCTAATAATTCTTTTATCCTTGGAGCACTCCAAAAGTGCTGAGCTATCCCGACGGTTAGGCATTCTTCGACTACGAGTTTTACTGTTGAGACTCCTCGCAGCACTTTCCATGCGTTTTGGGAATGTTGTACGAATTTTTCTTCGGTATCAGAGTTTTTCAGGTGAGTATATACTATGCCTTTAATAGTTCATTACTTTTTTACCATGAATCTTTATGTAAATACATTTAAACGCAACTTAATACATCATCGATGTTTTTTATAGTTATACGTACTACTTCGGGAATGATTTTGTCATAGATGAAGATGTGTCCCGGTATTCTTTCAAGCAGTAAGATTTTGAGATTATGATATAAAAATTTAAATTTTAAATTTCATTTTCGAAGGCCATTAAGTTTACTTCTTCGAAACAAATTCTGTTCTTCTAAATTTTTATCACTATTAACTTTAACAATTTTTCCACAGAAATTTTGTAAACTTTTAATTTTGCTCACTAATATAGAAAATTTACAGAAAATCAATAAATTAAACAATTATATATTATTTATGATGAACTGTTATGTATTACATATTATATTATTGTATATTACATCATGTAATATACGATATATAAATATATAAATTTTTATATAAATATATGAAGTTACATAGAATTTATATTAATAAATTTACTGTTATATGCCATACAATTGCTTATTATTGCACTTTATTATATCACATTCCCATATTTTTTTGTAAAAAGTCGATGTAAACCTGTTTAAGTTTGGCCGCTCGGATCGGGCAAATACCTCACTGTGCGATGACTCGATCGATAAACAACGCCGATCCCATTCTCCTTAAGGACAAAGTGTGTAAGAAACGGACAATCGATATCGCGTTCCTTTATTCTTTCCCGGAAAATTCAACAGTGATTTAAAAGAAAACTATTCATTTTCGACCCATAGTTCCCTTGAGACTACTTCTCTCCACGATGAATAAGTTGTAGTCAACAATTGTAACCCCTTTTTTCAAGGTTAGAGGCAATTTTGCAGTAGTTTCTTTAGCTCAATTTCCATAAAACCGAAGGTATGCAATCACGCTACGACAAGGAAATACAGGTAACCCTCGCAAAACACGGCACTTTTATAACACGTTTGAGAATTGGAAAGACCCTTATGTAACATGGTATCCTATAACAGAATTCCACTCCAACACGGTTTGAGAGTTACAGAAATTCCCGTACAACGCTTAAAGTTTCTAAGAGCAAAATTCAAAATTAGAGAGATCCCCGTGCAACGCGGAACAAAATAAGAACTTTCAAGCGCACAAGATATTCCATTGGAAATTTTTCATCTGAACGTGTATGTTGTGTCGGATTTGCCTGTAGAGTTTTAAAATTTAATGGAATTCGAAATCTTATTTTGTTCGTGGAGTATTGTATATTTTTAAACTTTGCGTTCTCTTTCTACTACATTATATATAGATTAAAGTTTCTTGGGTACGTATTATTAAACCTCTTCTACAAATGGTAATTATGTTTTTCTAATTTCTGGAGGCTAACTTCCTTCTTTGCCCTAGTTCTTTACTTCGCATAACACAGCATGTTTTAGAAACGTAACAACCGTGTTATACAGGGTTTACCTATACAATCATTTGTTTCCACCCCGTACATGTCGGATCGCTCAGAGTATCCGAAAGGGTATGGATTACCCTTCTTTAAAATGCGTCCCAATATACTTCGCGCTCGTCCGATGATAAACCCAAGAAGGAGAGTGGAGGGTGCTTCGAATCGCATCAGGGCCCAGTGAAGCGTGCAAGATGGAAGGCAAACAGTCTTATTGCCTGAAATTTTAATAGGGAAATTTCCATCGTTGCTTCCCATCACGTAACTCACCTAAAGTGGTCCCGGGAAAGGCGCTGCCAAGCATGGGGACGGTAGTTCGTTCTGCAAGCAAAGACAAAACGAAATGGCGAGTAATTAATTCGCTCTCTCTCTCTCTCTCTCCTGGAGAGGGGGCAGGGATGATGAGGAGAAGAAGGAGGAAGAGAATCGGAAGGAGGACAAGGAGGAGGACACCGTGATTTACAAGGCAAATTCTGTCCAACTTTGTGCCAGGCAGGTGCTCTGTATATGGGGGCTATACGTGATTCACAGGTATCATTGGAAAAAATTGATACGCGACGCATTGTATTCATTGTTGGGATTAACTATTTCAGTGTAACGAGTCTTTGGAATTTTAGCCGAGAAACCGAATCACGCTTCTTTAGTTTTGTATTAAATAATTTTAAATGGTAGGGTCGTTATATTTTTCCTTTTCTAAGCGTAATGAGGAAATTAAAACTGAATTACTGGAAGAAAAAGAAATAGGTTAGCGTAATCTGATTCTACGAACCGATAGATTGGCACTTTTAGGCAGTGTTACGGAGTGTCGCGCTGTTTGGCACTCTTCTATTATAAAATGGAAATAAAATATTAAGAAGAAAAGCTGGTATAAGTTTTGGAAACATATGTTTCACATGGCTTAATAAAAAAATGAGAATATTGATGTTTCAGAAAAGAAGTATTTTACTCGATGTCACTAAATTTGAATCGTGTAAATTGATGTTTCGTATAAGAATACCGTGTAAATAGTGTTGTAATTAGTAACAGTAATAGTAAATAGTAATAGAAAATAGTGATTAGTAATCGATAATAGTAATAGTAACAGTAATAAAAAATAGTAAATTAGTAATTAATAATAGCAATGGCAATAGTAAATAGCAATACAAATATAACATTATAAATAGTGTTAAAATAGAGAGTTGCGTAAAGGAAATACCACGTAAATGGAGTACGCTAAAGAAACGCTTTCGAGAGGTGGAGAACACGCGAAAGAACAAAACGCAAAAAGAACGCTGTTGGCTCGCTAATTGACAAATTTGCCGTTCGTTCGGTTGGGACGAAAAAATGAAGGTAGCCGGTTAACGAAGGGAAAACATGTGCGGGTCTATTTACGAAACATCGTCAAACCGCGCGAACGCGGAAAGCAAATAATGCTGGTTTATCGCGAATCTAACAACGACGACCAGTTAGGTACGCTCCCTAGTATCGTGTCGCAATGTCAAACAGACGCAAAACTTATCACACTGGTACCAGAGAGACAATTTTGCTAATGTTTTACAATGACAACAATAAGATACAGTTACAGATTAATCGCGGACATGTTAACAATACAGATCGTCTGTCGCGATATCGCGCGGATTGCGATACCAGCTTCAACGCGATCGATTGATCTTTTCTTTTTCATCGTTTGTACGTTTTACACAAGCAAGGATAGTTTTTGAAGTCAACTCTTTCGTATTGTAGACATATGAATGCACTGGTGCACAAAAATATTCAAAATCGATATATGAGCCACTCATTGGCCAAATTGGTTAATTTCTCAAAGCGAAAGGTAAAGAAAAATGGAGCCATAATACAAATTGGTTTTGAAAATTTCCTTTTCAATGGAAAATCAAGTTACTGTTATGGAATGCGTTTGACTTTATTATTACAGGCGTACCTTTAATTTGAAAATTCTGTAAAATGCATAAAACTGTGCAAAACTGTATTATTAAATAGTTTAAAGGATTTTATTATTAAATATTAGTTGAATATTCATAACTGGAATATGCTCTTCATCCCCGACTAACGTGAACTGATCAAAATTCATACACATTAAGTGCAAGTTAAAGTCTTTGGACACGTCTGCCTCGACAATGTAGGATAATGAGTTAACTGAACGATAAAAACGTTGAATTAACCACTTTACATCTTCGAACAATTTTTATTATTTGATACTTGTTTATACCTTATTTTAGTGCCAATAACGTGAGCTTTATTGCCATCAAATTGAAGGTTTAACTTGGAGATTAGAAAGCTGAGAATGTCTGAAATTGCGGAGACTAAGCTAGATCTTTCGATATTAACAGTGTACTACGTGAACCAGTGAACTATAAAAGGTTAATCGTGGAACGGTGGAAGCATCGATTTGTTGAAACTATATGCTCCGATTTGCGTGGGTGATTCGGTCGCCATCGTATATGTACGCACGATATCTACGGCCATAAGTCGCCGAACTTATGATTATTTCAACTTCTTAACCAGGAAAAACAGGTTAACCCGTCATTTATATGCAATTTTACCTTCCAATAAGTCTTTCTGTTCTTATTTATTCAATCAATAGTTCTTGCATTTTTCCATATTAATTTCAGCATTTTGTAAAACATTTTTATCAATGATATTTATTATTAAAGAAGGATGCGAGGTAGTGAAAAATATAACAAAAATGGAAGAAAAACTAATGGGCGAAAAGAAGGGGGAGCAAGTACAATATTAAAAACTCATGTATCCCAAAAAGGGAAACATTATTTACAATAAATAAAAAATAATTATTATTATTTCATTATTAATATACTTTTACTGTATTAATGTCATTTGTCTTGAATTACGTTATTCTAAATTTTTTACTTAATCCTTCACTATGCAATATCGAGTCAAACTCGTGAAGAGGTTTTCTAATGGAAGTTAAAAAAAAATTAAATACCATTCAGTTATTTTAGATTCAAATGAAATACTGTTTTTCTATTGTCAATTGTTATGCTATGAAGTAAACGTGAATATAAACGAATTAGGAATTCTTCTTTGCTTTTGAATAAAAACTATTAAGGACAAAGTTATCTCAGTGAGCGCAGTTATAAAAGAAATCACAGGGCAAGAGGTTGAAGTATCACCTGATTAACGAGTTGAAAGAAATAGAAATTTTTATGTACGGAATAATAAAACAATCGAAGCGTAATTAAAATAGGGATAATTATACGTGAGAACGCAAGTAAAAAAAACTATGAACTTATTTTCATCCGAGGCATTGTGTAAGCTAAAGTTTATTTAGAAACTTTATCAGATGCTTCTGCAATTGAATACAATACAGTCGTCATGCCATTTGATTTTTAGTCATTTTTATCCATACGGAGGTTTATAAATATTGACAGTGGGCAAATTAGCAATTCTGATAGTCCATCAACACAAAATATACGATTTAGGAATGCCACAATAAGCTATTAAAGCTTCTGCTATTATTCTGAATATTCGTTAAACATCACTCTAATAAATTAATTATCGATGAATCTGCCGGATTGGTTGAATGACTTTTTGTACCAAATCTCTATCTAAATTTGCATTTTCATTTATTCGTCTATATTGAATGTGAAATCCTGAGTATATGTACACATCTGTTTAATAGTTGAATTGATTCCACTAAGCTTCAAAATGTTTGCATGTGAAATAGCGAATGACGGGATTGAATTTATAATACACAATAGATAATAGATAATAAACAATTAACTCTGAACAGTTGAGTTAATATTGACTAAATCTGGGGAAAGCGTTGATAAGACTTTTAACCCTTTAAGTGGTTTATTTACTTTTGGAAGTGCGTACTTATGTGTGTCATTATTCTTAAGTGACGAAGAGTATGATAAATGTTCAAAGTTTCCGGGTGTAAGCTGTGTCTGTCAGGAATCGTTTCTCGATGTTTGAACTTGACCATTTGATTTCAGTGTGTTATTTTCATAGATTAATATTGTAGTATCTAGAATTCTTAGCGTAGGTTAAGGTATTTTTAAGAAGAGTGAATATAAGAATGAGTGTGAATGAAGGACAGGTTGTAAAACGGTCGAGGGAAAGTGACCCGCAAACGTCGCGGACCCAAGATTTCAGGGCCAGCTTTCCAGGGGTGCATCCGAGTGTTTGTAATGAGTGCGAGTGAGGAGGATGCTTGTAGGGGAGAGAATGATTTTTGGGAGAGAATGCCTGTAAGAGAGGTGCGGGAGGAGAGTCATGTGTTGACCTCCGTGGCATTGAGTTGTACTTTTTACGTGTTGTCCGTGTTGTTTCCATATTTTATATTTTGACTTTATTAACTTTTAAAGTTTAACTTTATTTTATTAAATTCATATATTTATTCCTAGCTCTCGATTACTCAAGATCCACCCTTTCATTATTTATACTATAGTAACATTGTAATATTAAATATCAAACTCTACAATTTTGCTGCGTCAAATCGATTTGCGACCGAGAGGCGGCTTTGGAGTTCAAGCGATTAAGACTGAGAATGCAAATGAAACATACTGCGGTTTCCACAGTATCCCAAAGTCATGCGGAATTTAAGTGGTCGCAGCGATCGTGTGGGCCGATTACATGCCGCGGCGACTTCTTGCTCCGTTGAAACAACGTCGAACAACCCGCACGGGGACTATAGAAAACATATCGAGTAAAGGGAGCACGTTTGATTCGCGATAACGCCGAGCCACGCAGCGCCGGCGGTATTAACCGCTTCGCGTTCTGCGAGTGCAGATTTTTCATAATTTATCGTTAAGGGGAATGGGCGGTACACGCACCTGTAAGAGCCTATGTGCATGAGCGACGCGATCCCGCTGAGGCAGCGATTGTTTTCGCGTAACAGAGAAAAAAAGTTCTTCTGTCTCACGAAAAACATCTGTTCACTTCATCTAGTATCTCACTTTATCGTATTCTGTTTCATTTGCGCTCCTCGTTACTTCTCTACGACACAGTTTGACAAAGTCGGAGAAGGAGTATAATAAGAAGAAACGAGATAGACACGGTCCATTGAATATAAACATGCAGTGAAGGAAATAGCAATTTCATTAATTTCAATCTTATTTTCTTAAGTAGCGAATTGCTTTATATTTTTTTTTTTAGTTGCGTTTTACTTGTGGATATG